CAGACTGGGAGAGTCGGCGAGATGTTCGACGGGGTGTTCGTGACCCAAGTCGTGTCAAACGGGTGTAGCAGGAGAAGAACCATTCCACGGACTCCTCTCGGTATCGTTATGTCCCCAACTCAACCTCACTCTGCATCCCGAGCAGTGAAAAGCCTACGTGTCTCGCACGGAATTGGCCAGCCTCACATTTGTATACACTCCGGAAGGAGTGCAGCACATTACTGAGTGCGTTTTTTTTACAAGACGGCCAGGCTGCCTGGACATATGAGGACATTCCTAGCATCAAATGAAAAGGGAGTGTCCTCAAACTGCTTTCAGTGGTCTTTTAAGACAAGCTCTTACAGGAGGATTTTGGAAAGTGTTGCGAAAGTTGCAGAGTGTTGCGGGCAGTTTACTGCTAGGCGAATAAAAATAACGCTCTAAAACCACCTTCAGTGTTCTCCTTAAGCATTAAAGGTCCTGAAGAAGAGATATTTAAGATGTGTACCCGCGGCGACGTCCATTGGCCGGATCGTTACGCCAGTTATCATCGTGCAGGCCGGGAAGGTCGGATTTGGGAAAATGGTGCCAAATGTAACACACTGTCGTCGAAACCATCGTCAGAATCTCGCCGGAAATTTTCATCGCCGCGTGCGCTAATTATGAGCTGTATCTACCACCCATTAAAAAAATCATTCTGTGCACTCTTCCTTTCCAACGTCAAGTTTACCTAAATGTTTACGAGTTCTTCGACGTCGCGATGTCGAAATGCCACCGATCGATCGCCCAGTCGCCGACGCTGTGTACTTCTAGAAAAATGTGGGGAGGAGCACGTGCAATGACCGCTGATGATCAGCGGTATATGATTCATCATAAGTTCATGCATTCATTGCGGTCAGCAGAGTTATGCCACAGAGACAACAGCATGCATCATTGGAAAGCACACTATCTTGAAAAAAACGCATGGTGTTTTTTATAGTTTTGAATTTGAAAATATCTGCTGAGTACGAAAGTGCAGAAACGTCGAAGCAGCGTTTAGAAGTGGGAGCTGAAATAAAGCGGATATGACGCTGGCATCGGCGGTCAGAGTGTTTTGTTGAGGCGTTTGGAATATGTAACAAGGCCTTAAATGCAACAGGCCTTTGAAGAGCAGCAGTTGGTGTCTCATGAGATTGGCCGCAAGTTATGGGATACGGCGCCCAAGCGCGCTACGCTAGTATTTGCCTCAGGTCGTAATGAACGCCACCCCATCAGTTTATGCTGATACTTTTAAAACCAATGGCAAGGTTTCCGCACTCTGCAATGACTTCCTTCCACAACGCGGGTATGAATGACGCGGAAGCGTGGCCGGTCACCACTGTCTCTTCCCTCGCACTGTTTAAGTCAAAGTTCAATTATCCACCCATATGTACGTGGCACAACGCGCAACTCGTTTACGCCACCTAGTTGACTTTCATTGGCGATCCCAGGATCACCGTACCGACAAGCGTAGTAAAGCGGTGAAGTTCGTTTGATGAGGTATTGTACCTTATCGTCCAACGCAAATGCTTAAGTGCTGATAAGCATTAGTCGCTCAGCAAAATTCGTGAGTCAAGACTGCCCAAAGCTCTACTTCCCGATCACCCCTGGCCTACTTCCGCGTCTGCGCGTCCACGCTGGCCACCGTCGCCCGATAATGGCCAGATCGTAAGCCACATGAGTCACCACCGCAGACGGCATTGTCGGGCGCCCTTTCACCCGGCGGGTATGCTGGGGCGCGTTCGCTCGGCCGACCAAAACCCAGCGCAGTAGTGCGACGATAGTCCCACGCCTTTGAATAAAATAGACCGCTACATTCGCGTTCGTGTGTCAGCATGTGCTCCTGTCCTATGTGTTTCATCGCATGTTCGTAGACTGGTTTGAGTCGAATGGGAGCACCGCTACTCGCTGACCTTGACGATCGCCAGTTGAAGCGACGCTGTCAGCTGACTGAAGCGGCAGTCCTCGCAAAAATGCCGGTTAACCGATTGATTGTGAAGGTCATTTTGTCCACGCCATTGCAATGAATCAAAAACGTTGATTCACTCGAAGTAGTTTTGTTTGCAGCGCGGGACGTGTGACAAGCTTGCGTAGATCGAGGGCAAGAAGAGCATGCAAAAATGGGAAGTAGTCGCATAAAGCAAAAATAGTCGCATTGCCTACCAAAAACAGCACATTAGTTTCGCGGTCCATCCAATCAAGCGTTATGTTTTGAATTGAACAGTAGCGTAGCCACTTAAGATGATCGGCTTCCTTTGGTCCATAAACAATTCTTTAAAGGGGATGTTTCATCTTTGCATGGAGCTTTGAACTAGTTAGCCATCATGAAGATCCGTCGATGCAGTTCACAGCCACACCCTTCGTAAGACCTGAGCCCCTCTTGTTTCTGAACTACACGACCGCGAAGATGTGCGGACTATTTCGGGGAGACTATTTCAAAGTCACCAGCCATCTATGACTTCATAATAGCGTCATTCAAATCCTGCCATTCCATCAGCTATGCGGCGATCAAGGCCAAGGAAAATGTAATGGTCAAGGCGTTCGTGAACACGATTTCCAGATGTAACGGCTGTCAGTTGGCTGTCGATCAATGTCGTTCAAAGTGCGGTGACGGATTCAAACAATGACAGATTGAGGAGCATATTTACTAAACAGAGAAGCTGTGCTGTCTTGAGCAGTCTTCCACTAAAAACTCCAATAGTTATACGTGAGCTAATTTCATCCTATTTGATGCCTGCCTCATTATTTTCAAGTGTGGAACAGTCCCTTTAAAACGGGTTCACTGTTACGCAGCGAATTCCTGGACTTGAAAATGTACCAGAATATACTGGCTAAACAACGTTATGGAGCAAACATTGGTTATACCGAAAGTACCCAACGTTTCAAGCTGTGCGTATGATCGTTAGTGAAGGGCGAGTAAAGTTAAGCAAAAAGCTGTACTTGAAAACTAAGACACTTGAATCCAGAAAGTCCTTTGAATCTGTGCACGCACTGCCATCAAAGAAATGTCAAAAAGAAGGAATCATCCCAGCCCCTACATCGTAACAGCCGACACACGGTTCTGTGCTGAGGGATGCACGAAGCTGGAGAGGCTAACCCGGGAGGTTACGATATCCGGAAGCGAGTATTGCGTAAGAACATTTCTTGCCACCATCATCATGTTCGTAACTCTGGGCAAAGTTCGTGGCGCCTGATGATTGTGACACGTACTTTTCTAGTATAATTATCGGTTTGAATCATCGTAACCTTCCGTCTAAGCCGCCTGCGTTTAGTGTAGCCCTCCGCGTATAAACCTGTATCGGATGTGAGGATGTGAACGCCGGGAGGGCTTATTATGTTTGCATGATTTTGGTGGCAATTTCTGCACAGATTGGGAGCAGTTCCCGGATTCATGTATCTTGGTTTTCAGGTGTGATGTTATGCTTAAGCTTGCTCAACCTATTTTGCTCGTGATCATGGCCACAACTTGAAATGTCGACTGCTGTCGGTATAACGAATGTGCACTCTATAAAGCCGTTTACTTTTCCGCAGTACCTCTCGGTAAATTGAAGATGATAACTCAGCATGCGAACTCAAGCATGCGGGGATGGATGAGGGAGTACGGCACAGTACCTGACATGCTGCGTCAGGCGACAGGACCCAGCACTGAGCAGGGCTGGCGCAACGTTGTCGCAGCCCGCCTCCGAGCAGGACGGGCTCGATCTCGCCACTGCCCCGTGACCCTCTGGCCGCTTGATCCCGCCACTGCCCGTGACACTCTGGCCGCTTGATCCCGCCACTGCCCGTGACACTCTGGCCGCTTGATCCCGCCACTGCCCGTGACACTCTGGCCGCTTGATCCCGCCACTGCCCGTGACACTCTGGCCGCTTGATCCCGCCACTGCCCGTGACACTCTGGCCGCTTGATCCTCGCTATCGCCCCGTGGCCCTCTGGCCGCTTATTCCCGTCACCACCCCGTGATCCTCCGGCCGCCTGTTCCTCGCCACCACCCCGCGACTCTCTGGCCGCTCCCGACGGGCTGTTTCGTGCGTAGGGGCGTCATAGCCTGAGAAGACTCGACGATGATCCCGTTTATTTCTTATAAGTGGCATGTCTGAGTTGCGTTGCATCGCGCTCCCGCTGATGTTCCTTTGTCACGAACAGCAATCATTCGAGGGACCCCGGGACCCATGAAAGAGACCGCCCATGCTTGCGAGGTCCATAGGGACCCAGAGGGAGGGGCCCTATGGAGGCTCGTGCGTGCGACGGACCCCGGGGCCCATAACGGAGAAGGCCCATTCGTGCGAAGCTCCTTTTACAACGCGTCGTCCTTGCGAGCTCTCCACGACTCTGTCGCCCACAGGACCCGCGTGTGCACAAATGCGCAGTCTGTATCTTGGCTCTGGCCGCCGTCTGTTTATAGAAGACCTGTATACACAAAGTGCGCGTTAGCTCGGGCCTGCTCCATGAAAAACAACTTAATGCAGCTTTTGACGCTTCTTCATCCGTGTTGTTGCGTACACGCGACAGCTGATACGTTGTACACCGTTAATAATGTTGACGAGGAATGTTAGTAACACTGGTATTGTTGTTATATTTGCACGGGCCCCTTGCCTTGCGGTTTTCCAGCGTGGTTAATGTAAATGTATATCAACGTCCTGGCAACCTTTTATCCCAAACACATGCAGCCTACGATCACCTTTGTTTTCCACCATCCTTTCCACCCCATCTCACTGTCTAACTCTAGTGTCGCTGTACATATGGAACCAGTGATTCAGCATCGTCCCGTTTTCTTTCCTTTCATGCCGTTCACCCCAATATTTCACTTCGCATCAGCGAGTGGACCAGTTGGCCGCGTTTATCTTGTGTCACTCCTTGCACCGGCCACCGCCACCAGCCATGTTGCCGCAATTATTGCGGCTCGGCCGCGGGCCCTACCATACTTGTTGACGGCCCCCTCCCCACGGTGCTCAGCTCGGCGCGTATGCAACTGAGAATGGCGATGGTCGGGTGTCGGCAGGCGGGGGCGGCCTCTTCAGACGTCACGATGCGTGCGGCTGGGCTGCTGGTGCTGGCGCTCGCTGTGGCAGGCCCTACGGTGTCTGGCCAGCTGGAGGTGCTGGAGGTCGGCAGTCTGATCCGAACCGGTAAGCAGGCCGTCGCAGTATTCATGAACGGGCCGCGAGCACGGCGGGCAAGCGTCGTGTCGGCGCTCGTGCGGCGTCTGCGATGGTGTTCGTCAGTGGAAATGCGTTGTGCGTGTGAATGGGGAAAGTGGTCGGTCATTCAGCCGGTTATCGCGTCGCTTGCCGCTGATTGGGGATGTGGTCAGGCGTTGCGTCGGCCAGTGCAAGTGAATGGCTAAAAATGTGTGAGTTTGTGTGAATGTGAATTGCCTAGAATACTTTTGAACGCCACATCGCTGACTACGACGTCGCCAGCTCAAAAAATTCGTGGTAGTCGTCATGCCTACGTTAAGTTCCTCACGTGCCTTTACCGTGTTCCTCTATATTCATTCGATTGCCGTTACCGTGCCTCAACCACGGTGGCACTAGCTCTCGCCCCCTCTCACCGCCGTTGAGTCCGACTGCCAGCATACCCCTCCCCCCTATTTCTCGCGGCGGTGCGCCACATCCCTCCACCATACCTCTGATGTCCAACCACCCTCGCTGTCCGTCATCTGACGTCCGGCCAGCCCCGCTGTCCGTCATCTGACGCTCTGCGAGCCCCACTGTTCGTCATCTGGCGTCCCGCCAGCCCGCTGTTCGCCATCCGACGTCCCCTCCAGCCCCGCTGTCCGTCATCTGACGTCCCGCCAGCCCACGGTTCGCCATCTGAGTCATCTGGTTTCCCGCCAGCCTCGCTGTCCGTCATCTGACGTCCGGCCAGCCCCCTGTCCGCCATCTGACGCTTTGCGAGCCCCGCTGTTCACCATCTGACACCCAGCCTGCCCCTCTGTCCGTCATCTGGTGTCCCACCAGCCTCGCTGTCCGTCATCTGACGTCCCGGCAGCCCCGCTGTACGTCATCTGGTGTCCCACCAGCCCCTCTGTCCGTCATCTCACGCCTCCCAGCCCGCTGTCCGTCATCTCATGCCCCGCAGCCCGCTGTCCGTCATCTGACGCCCGCCCCTCCGTCCTGTCAGCGCTGGGTGTGACCGAATTCGTCGCCAAGATCTGGGACAAGACGTTCGCCAATGAGACGGGTGTGCGCCTGCCGGACTTGGGCGCGCTGGGCGACATACTGGGTGACACCGATGCGCAGCTGCTCGACCAGTTCGCCGCGCTCAGTGACCGCATTGGCACGCTGGAGCAAAGTGTGCGTTCGGTGCAGCGCTCGCTGCGCCACATTCAGAACAACATCGCCAACGAGGTCAGCTGGGAGCTGACGATCGAGACGATGGAGAACCTGCTGCGCCCCATCAACAGGTGAGCGGCGCATGACGGGAAATGGTGAGGTCACTGAGGTCTTGACTGTATGAGTGTGGGGCTGGGGTTTCGAAGTGTGCATCGGGTGTGCTTTTATGTACTATCTTTTGTGAACGGGAGATAGTACGCAGTATATTGACTAGACCACAGTGGATGGATTGCATAGATAGCTGTCCAAATTCGGAAGATCATGATTAGCGTGTTTCGGGCAGGCATGGTTGGACGGGAAGGATGATGTGTAGCGTGGGCTCTTTGTGGCTGTGTAGTACGGGCCGAGAAGGATGATGTGTAGCGTGGGCTCTTTGTGGCTGTGTAGTACGGGCCGAGAAGGATGATGTGTAGCGTGGGCTCTTTGTGGCTGTGTAGTACGGGCCGAGAAGGATGATGTGTAGCGTGGGCTCTTTGTGGCTGTGTAGTACGGGCCGAGAAGGATGATGTGTAGCGTGGGCTCTTTGTGGCTGTGTAGTACGGGCCGAGAAGGATGATGTGTAGCGTTGGCTCTTTGTGGCTGTGTGGTACGGGACGAGAAGGATGAGTGTAGCGTGGGCTCTTTGTGGCTGTGTAGTACGGGCCGAGAAGGATGATGTGTAGCGTGGGCTCTTTGTGGCTGTGTAGTGCGGGACGAGAAGGATGATGTGTAGCGTGGGCTCTTTGTGGCTGTGTAGTACGGGCCGAGAAGGATGATGTGTAGCGTGGGCTCTTTGTGGCTGTGTAGTGCGGGCCGAGAAGGATGATGTGTAGCGTTGGCTCTTTGTGGCTGTGTAGTACGGGCCGAGAAGGATGATGTGTAGCGTGGGCTCTTCGTGGCTGTGTAGTGCGGGACGAGAAGGATGATGTGTAGCGTTGGCTCTTTGTGGCTGTGTAGTACGGGACGAGAAGGATGAGTGTAGCGTGGGCTCTTTGTGGCTGTGTAGTACGGGACTTATTACAGGTGCCTTCTTTGCAAAAGCACCCCCTCATTCGGACAATGCCGAATAAGTGCTTGCAAAAGAGTGCCGGTGAGTTTGAATTTTTGCTCATCTTTACGCGTCACGATATTCGCACGTCTTTGAAAATCTCTCTCCGTGTTAGAAAGCAGTTTTACCGACAGCCTCCTTAATCAAGTTTTACCTATGCTGTGTGAGAAAGGGAAACACGTTAAAAAAGATCATGCCCTTGGCGCAGCTTTTGCAGTTATGACTGGGTGTCATGGTTTTGTACAGAAGCTCGAGTTTGTTTAACACATGTCCAGTTTGGCACCTCGTTTCGGAGTCCTCATCCCCACTTGTCATAGTCTGTCTTGGGCCCCGAATAGTTGGCCCAAATCACGAAACAGCTGACCGATGTATGTTCTTTGTTGTTGTTGTCAGAGCTTCGGATCTCATCTAATCCGCTTTTGCTTGTAATGACGCTGTAAAGGTATCACGATCACACTGATCTGCACACTATCTACTTGGAATCTTAGCTCAGTGACCAGCCGGCTGTCGGCTTTGATCACAGATCTCCCTATGCTGCTGAACGAGAGCCTGCCAGTGAACCATTTCAGACAAACTCCTTCTCCAGACTAAATCAGACTTGATGACATCTGCGTTACGAGCTTCATATCAGGAATACAGCCTTCAAGATCGGCTATCATATCCAATATTCGGCATCCCTGAGTGCTCAGCGCGCCTGTTCTAGCCCACGCCATGCCTCCGGTACCTGTAGCCAGTCCTCCTAGGACGAGGGGGCTATTTTGCAGCCGGACGTGGGCGCCATGCGAAGACCAATCAGTGCATCGAGCTGGGCCAAGCAAAAAGAAAGGAAAGAGGGGAGAAAATGCTCTGAAAAAAATATCAAGGGGTCGATTGATTCTGTCTCTGTTGACGGACAGATTAAGAATTTGCGCGAAGACACTAACCTGTCAGGTTGCTGTCTTTAAGCATGCCATGTTCGAGAACGTCTTAGGAGTTATGTTTATTTGTATGCTCCCCGCCAATCGCTGGGTTCATGAGTGGCGTGGAAGAAGCTGAAAAGTTGACGTGTCGTGCGTAATTTGGTACCTGCTATTGAGATGGCTGGTTGAACAATCAAATAACACTCAGCAGCCGACGTTATTAGTGGTGGCGCAGCCTTGTATTTTTTTTTTTTGAGGGATTAAGAAATCATTCACCATCCATTTTTATGTTATTGTCATAAAGGCAAGGCGTTTCCGGGCTTGAAACGTCTAGATGAAAATGAACAAATCCTGCAGAAGGTGATACATTTTTCGAGTAACATGCATTTTATTGGATTCCTCGGTGCTCGTTTTCTCATGAGCATACCTTATCAAAAAAGGCAGACAGTTCTCAATAAGGGTGCGCGACAAAAGGAGGCTTCACGGGTGGGATAAACCCGTCGGTACCCACATGAAATGGGTAACCGTTTGAGTCTGCACAGATTTGGGGGGAATTACGAGCAAGGGCTCTAGAATAGATAAGACTTTTTGGATCTGCTTTGACTGATTGACAGTCGGACGAAAGCGGCAGGTGCGTAAAGCGACTCAAACGCAACTCATAAATCGGATCGGAATGAAAAATAATGGGTAAGTGAATGAGCGTCGGACACTCAAACCACCCGAGTCATCGGGACGGATGGAGGCTTTCCTGAATATTTTCCATCATGTAGATCTTACGCATTGCAAAAAACAACAAACAAACGGGTGGGTCACGGATAGGAAGATTAATGGGGAATGGGGTACGGGTGGGTGTGAGGTAAGCTGCCCATGGACATGGGTAACATGGTGGGTAGGTATTGGGTACACAAGTTTTCAACCCGCCAACCCACCAACGGACGTATTTCTTCGTCATCCCTTAGCTTGTAAAATTATTCAAAAACCAGGGTGTACTAACAAACACAATGCAATTATAAGGAAACCCTATTTTCACTTTTACAACCACAGCATTAGTAGGAGAAAACACATGGCAGACATGACACACTAGCAAACCAGACTACATACATTTGATAACTTTAGGCAAGCATAGTACTGAAATTCACTCAAGAGCAAGAACCAAAATTTTGGAAGCTTGGCCTGATTTTGTCGAGCAGTAGTGAGACGGATCGTTGATATACCGGCTACACACTGCACTCGACTGTTATTTTATTGTGAAGGTGACTTGCACTCAAGCTTATAGCAAGCGTATAACAGCTATACACTGCACTTGGCTGTTATTTTATTGTGAGGGTGACTTGCACCCAAACTTTCTTGTTTTATACAACGCCAGGCCTCACAATTTATTCAACCAATAATTATCTCACCGGTAATTATGCACGGAGATGCGCCATTTGTTCGGCAGGTCTGGAAATTATCCCCAGACTCGTCCCCCACGCGCCATACACAGCTAGTGGTTATGGCTATGCATAGCGAAAAAGGATTCTCCGTCTTGACCATACTCTGAAAATTTTCCGGGATTCTCCCTCGGCACGGAAAACTATCTGGGATAATTTTCTGTGTTGGTAGTGCCGAACGCCATTCTAAAAAATTGCGACATTATCTGCCGGCCAAACGCACCCTTGTCATGCATCTTGGGAAAGCATGTGGTTTGTCATGGGCAAGACGTTTACGAAACGTCGGTTATATTGTCCGGGAAGTACTGCACAACGGTACTGCTTGTGCTTCATGTAAAGATAATTAGCTTTATCTGCACTTCTGGTACAAATAGAAACAAACACAAACAACAACAAAAACGAAACAGCATAGGTTCGGATGTAAACGTTCCTGGAAGTTTTCCATGACTTATGATTTAACAGGTGAAAAATGCGAACGAGTGGGTAACGGGTGAAAATGCAATGTCTGTCAGAGATGGGAAACGACCGGGTTTGGGCACAGTCCCATGGGGAACCTGTGGATATGGTTACAGAAATGTAATCCGTGCAGGCCTCTAGTGTGGGCACAGCCCCAGTGGTGCTGGATAGATGTAGTGAGGGGAATCTTGCCCGTGAAGTTCTCTACTCTATAATAGCACGGGCAAGACCGCCGTCCGCTTTCCTCGAAATGTACGCGGAATTCCGCTCACTAATCCAAGGTATTTTGATCATAAACATGCATTTCTTACCGTATGGAATTTTTAGTTTCAAGCGTGCATTTCGAATAATTGAACTCGCCATATGTGCATCAGCAGAGAAAACTTCCTCAGTCTCGTTAAGCGTGCAATGCAATTTTCTGGCCTGATGCGCGCCATAACATGGCAAATATTGCAGTCATTTTGTAGGTACGGGTCCTGAGAGAACCATGCGAGTGACACGTGGCACCGCACTGGTGCGCATAACTGCAGAGCCGGGAGAACCCCATTCCGATCAATGCTTACTTGCCAATGGCAACTTCGAAAATGAAGGGCTTAACGTAAACGCCCCGTGAAGTATCGTGACCTGACCTAATATTACCTTGCAAAAATATAGATCACGCTGCGCATTAACAGTCCCATAGCCGTCAAATGAACCAGAGATAAGGTAAACGCAGTGTCTGTATGATCACTTTTCACCTGCACACGCATAAGGGCGTCATTTTGGAAGATATGTGAAATTTGACACTACCACTGAGCTAACTCAATTAGCTAGTGATATCAGTGAAACTGAAATGAAATGAAGGCTTGACAACTAGGTGTATGTGCCAGCATCTATACGATGGCGGCACTTACCATCCATACAACAAATATTCACGTGTATTGAAGTTAGTTAAGTTAGTAAAGGAGCCTTCCAGTTCATAACGAGACATCCAGTTCCGTAATGAGGGCCTCATTTTTCAAAACCGAGCCCCCCAATTCAAACGGGGCCTCCTAGCGCACACCGGGTTCCTCTTAGTTCCTAATGGGGCTCCTTCTTAAAGACGGAGGCCTCTTGGTTCATAGCAGGCGCCTCCTAGTTTATAACGGGGCCTTTTAGTCCGTGATGGGGCCTCCTAGTTCATAACGGGTACCCCCTTTTTACAACGGTGACCTCCTAGTTCACAATGGGGCTGCCTGGCTCATAACGGTTGTCTTCTGAGCCCGTAACACAGAATCCTTAACACACAGTTGGGCCTCCTGAACTAGAGCTTGGGCTTCCTAATTCATAAGGGCTGTCTCATGATCCAGAAATCGGCTCTCTTGATGTGGGAAGAGTCTTCGGAGCCGGATCTACTAGTACCTTCTTGCTCAGTGGTGGGAGCCTCTTCGATCGGAATTTGGGTAATCCGCGTAAGATGCAAATCCTTTGCTTGGGCAAAAGGGGCCTCCAAAAATATTGGGAGCAAAACATACTCTTGCCGTTTCTGCCCTCCCCCCCCCCCCCCCCCCCCTCCTGCGCCGCTCCAGATCCGTACCATCATGCTCTTCTTGCACGTCAGTTTTGCCCTGCAACGCCTGCCAGGCGACTTCCTCCATACAGCCGTGGACACGGCTGTCAGCTTCGTGCAAGGTTTATCTTGTTGCTCTAGGGTTAGCTGCAATCCGCCATATGCAAACTCGGGTTAATTGCGGTTGATTTTGTTTCAGGCCTGTTATGCAGGGCCGGTCTCTTCCCAGACGGGCTTATTCAGAATCGGGCTTCGCGAAGCCGCGGATGATTCACTTCCCAACAATAGTGCTGAACTGTGTACCAAATTGGGGAAAATGGCTCGACGGCGCTTAGCGCCTTCCCTTCTGCACAAGGGCAAAACTGCTCAATCTGGCGGACGCAAGCAAACTTGTGGGCGTTGTGAACTATGGACATTATTAGTTATGGATGTGGAGAACCGCGAGCTTTATGGCCTGTACATATTATAAACTGCGGGCAATGTGAACGTACCCCGTAAAAACCTCAAAAGCGATTCCTCTCTAGTCCACAACACATCAAGACCACAGAGTCTGCTGTCGAGTCTGCAGACGTCAGCTGCTAATGAGGTCCCTGACAGGTTCCTTTTTTATTTGTTTTGAAGTGCGCTTTGCGTGTCTGTGGGCTTCATTTTGCCTCATCGTTCGCGAATGTATATGCAGCCGTTTCTGCGAGTTGTGATCGCAGATGGTCTGCAAAGTGTAATGCGTCTCACGTCACCAATCGCTGTTTAAATCGTTTGAATTGTTAAATTTCCTGAGATACAGTATCTGTGGTTGCGCCCGGTTCGAAAAAAACGACCAATTGTCGTCATGCTCGACTAGAAAAAATCATTGTAGCGAAGGCGTTGCTTAGCATTACGGCTGTCCTCGGAAGGGTTCTTTTTTACCAGCCTCGCAGTCGGCTTTCAAGTATTTCTTCCTCCGTCACCTATGCCCGTCCCTCTTCTACTCTCTCTCCCAGCCTACTGCCCCGGTATGTCTGCCCTAGGCCGACCGTCACGAGTGTTGACGTCTGTGTCTACAGCAACTACGACCGCTTCCTCTACTACCAACGCCACAACAGCACTGTGGAACGCCACACGCTGGATAACTTCGCGACGCATGCGGTCTCGCATGACCCACAATCGCTTCAGTCGACCATGCTGAACCTGTACCACCTGGCCAAGGGGCTGGGCATGCACGCAACCCCACACACCCGCCATCAGCGGTACGCCTTCAAGCAGGGCCTGTTCCGCCAGCTGCAGAAGGTGCTCAAGGTGAGCAGAAGCAGCAAGAGGCGCTGATGACGTGTTATCTGTGGACTAAAAAGGCCACGAGGAGGCGATTGTGCATGCCCCGCAGGCTTCTTCGCGTCGAAACAACAAAAAAGACGGAAGTCCACGTCCGTCCTTTCCGTCACATTGTGTGGAAGCGGCCGTAGCCGCAGCTATTGTAGCCGTCTTGCTTTGAGTCACGTCGGTACGTGCACATGTGTGATGCTACGAACCCATACATCTGCAAAGGAGTACTGAACTGACCCATGTTTCGTCTTCTTCACCCAATTTGCGCTGTTCGCCAAGGCATCAATGCATTCAGACATACTCTTTGATTCAATCAGGCGTGCGCTGAGTTGGCCATCACATACATGTTCTCTCTAGGGATCTGAGACAATGATCTGCGGCCTGAAGCAGTCGCCCCAACAAATGGCATACGGCCTTTACGGAACGGTGGCACTGGCCCTGGCCAAGGGGTACTCTATGATCCAGTTCTCGTATATGCTGCTTCGTCTATATGACAAAGGTAAGCAACATGTGAAGACGATCTGCGTATCTTCCTCGAACTTGCCAGCACGTTCGTCCGTAATAATTGACTGCGTCTGCTCTTGAAGGTGTTGATTTTCGACTGTGAGACAGGCGAAAAACAACTTCTTCCTCCCCCGTCACCGCCGTTCGTCCGCCCGTCTTCTGCCTCCCTATCAGCTCGCTATCCTCGGCGTTTGCCTCGGGCCGAAAGGCTGTATGTGTGGAATGACTACTGTGGAAGGGTCATCTTAGCTCCATTCGCTTGGTGTGAAAAGAGGGCCGCGTTGCGTTTTCTGTTTTTTCGAAACATCTTTGGCTCGACTGCGATTTTCTGCAACATGCGAAAACTATTCACCAAATGCCATGGCACGAATGATATCGGTCGTCGAGGAGGATTAAGTGGTGTATTCATATCATTGTTCTAAACAGGAATGTTCTGCCTGTCCCAAGCCCCAGAAAAAGTTCCACGTCCCTTTTATTCTTGCCTCCACCTGGTGAGCTCGTCCCCGCTTTGTGCTTGCATCAATGACTGACTACGGACATTACGTCTTTGGTCTTCCTACCCAGTATGTGGACCATTCTTCCTAGAATGGTTCCGCATTATTCCACCTGTGATGCTGAGGGTGCTTCGACGTCCACCCTGGCTTCAACTTGTCAGTCTGTTCTCCCCGCGTGCAGGCCTGTTCACGGTGGAGTCGCGCCTCACGTCGGATACCTACGACCGCATCTCCTTCGACGTGGCGGCCGAGGCGCAGACGGTCATCAAGGACCTGTCGAACGTGTATTGGCGCTGCGACCCCGCTACCCACGTGGAGGGCACAACCTTCGAGCAGGTCACCGAGCTGCTCCAGGGCTACATGGAGAACGAGGTGGACCTCAACCGCGACGGCACCTGCAACAACAACTGCGCCTACTACAAGCGTGCGAGGCACGAGGGCTGCTACATGGTTGGTAACGCCACTGCCGCCAACGTCACGGTGCAGCAGGCAAGCAGACGATCGCGACACGTGGCGCGTGCACAGGCGGTGTGGGCTGGCAAACGTGTCTTGGTAGTAGACATACTGGCGTAGTGGTGAGGCTGGGCAGAGGTACATTATACACTACGCATGAGACCAGGTCATGTACCTGTCGGCTTCGTCTGAAAGGCATCCGGTCAGATGCACCAAATGGTGACAGAACGCTTATTTCTTTCATGATACGCTCTAACACTAATAACGCCATGAAAGACATAAAATGGCTAACTTGAGAGTATGAGAACAAAGCGCGTTTTTGTATGATGCCCCCATCTTCAAACATTTTTGACCTTTTGTTTCTATGTTTTGCACCTGGAGTGAAAAGATATTTTACGTTGCATGTGGTTAGGTAAGCGCGCTGCAGGTGCCCGCAATTGTTGATGTGTCGTAAGATAGCACGGCATGTTCTCGATATTTGTTTATTCTACCAGGTCTATTCTACCGGGTCTACCGGGATCTTCAACTGGCAGCTGTCAGTTCCGTATATATTATTACATATCACAATGTTGGTACGGGGGTCCAGGAATGTAGTTTCTTATACACTAGGGGGTTTCAACACGAAAAATGTCCCTTCTCCACGAAAAACGTGTCGCGTGCATACTTTTGTCGGATTTGAATGAGCACGCGTCAGGCCACTTCATTCTGCATAAAACTTTTTTGCGCCTCTGACCACCTTCCGTGAAGATTGTCGGGACCTATTTCCGGTAATGATGCCGGGCCGTCATTATTATTTACTGTGCCGGTTGTTGTGACGGTGTATATCATTTGTTGTGACTATTATTCTTCGGTAAAATAAGACTTTATTGGCCAAGTTTGGTGTCATCCTTGGCATCGGGAACATATATTTAAGTGACCAAAATTTGGGGACAAATCAGGTTTTGGGGGTAGGATAGCACGCGCCCGGGTGGCCGGCTACATACCCTTCGCTCGGGTGGGGGATCAATTTACCCCCCTGAGATCTCAGGAGCTAAGAAAGCTAGAGATACCGAATTTACAGGGTGTCTTTACCTGTACGTGAACGCACTTAGGTCAAAATTTGAGCCTCTTAGGTCATGACCATCAGGTCAAATAAGGTCAAACAAGGTAAAATTCCAGGTTGGTCTCCAAAGTGCCTCGGAGCCTAGACAACTGTTTCTAAGCAAACGGTCACAGGCCGATTTGAGGTCAGTGACCTTGTTTGACCTTTTGAAGGTCATGGTGACCAAAATTACACAAGACTGCCCTGAGTTTTGCATTTTAATAAGAGACAAAGATTACACTAGGCAGAATGTTCCTAAAACAAAATGTCAACCCGGGTCATCTTTGGTCGTGCGGTTCCTGCTGTAAATAAATTTGAAATGAGCACCACGAACTATCCCATACAGCAAGCCCTAGAGTAATAAATCAGGTTGGTTTTGACCTTGGTCTGACCTTCATACCTGACCTAGGTCAACGTAATTTGCTCATTCAATATTTTGGGTGCCTAAGCAGGCATCTCAGAGATGTATGGCTTCGTCAATCACTCCGTTTTTGTATCAGATTGGACGATTCCCTAGAAATTGCCTTCGCTGAAACCATGACCTGACGTTGACCTACCATAGGTCAGCGACCTTACAAGTTACACCTAATTTTTTATGTCAAACGATCTGCTATTCAATCGCCTACAGCTATGCAAATTTTGGCGCGGCTACACCGCGCCGTTCGGAAACCATTCTGGAAAAACCTTCGGGTGAGGGGTCAATTTGACCCCCCACCCGAGCGCGTGTTAGGTCAGCCTTATCTGCTGCGCCCCCAAATCAATTGTCGAAGTCACATCTCAGATTCCACGCATGCTCTCCTATGCATACATGACAAGATTTACACGTACCGTAGTGCAAAGCACTTTGCGGCAAAACTAGTGTCAATATGTTGTGCCCTGTGCAATAGTGTGGTGGTGGGTGCGCATCCGACCGAGCTAGTGCTTTGGGGTTGGTGATACGGCCTGTCTGTGTTCGTGGACTCGGATCGTCTGATGCGCTGATATGGAGCTGCGCAATGGAGTTAGTTGTAGCGATCGGGTTGCCTGTAACTGCATGCGTCAGTGAGGAGAGCACGTAACTTAAATAATTTACTTCAGTGCGTCATATCGAAGCACATGCTGCATCGAGGTGAGCTCAAACACTTGCACCGGCGCCAGCGTGCTTCGGATGGCGCCTGGAGAGTGCTGATGCTTCATCAATTAGATATGCTACACAGATATGGCTAGTACAGCGACTGTTGGCTGTATTACACAGGTGTGCAAATCTGCAGACATGCCAGTGACGTTCAGTGCCCGCCGAACCCGATTGCAGTAGTGCCTGCGTCGTTAGCTTGCCTGCTGCCCGCTGTCTTTTGGGACGTTTATCGTTTCCCCTGTTTTCACTGCCTGCCATTTATTGTCATGCGCGTTGCGTGACCTGATCGAGTGATGCCAAGTTTTATGCATCTCATGCCAGTGATATATGAGTGCGATGTAAGCCCGAGTTACGGGAGGGATCTCTCCCAAGTTGGGGGAGGCAATCTCTCCCAAGTTGGGGGAGGCGATCTATCCCAAGTTGGGAGAGGCGATCTATCCCAAGTTGGGGGAGGCAATGTCTCCTTAGATGGGGAGATATACTCCTAGTCTCCATCAGGAGTGCCGGGGCTAAATGGGTTAGAGGACAATGTCTTCAGCTTTTTGGCAATATTACAGTGGCCGTATGCGAGTTGAATGGGGAGAAGAAACCAACCTACCTGTCTGTTCATCAACTTAGGGGATTCTTGTTGCCCCTGGACCGTCATCCATTTTGATCATTTATTCCCTGACAATGCTTATTGGGCCCTGTTAATTTTCCGAAGCCTGCGGGCCCAGTTCACCCTGAATCTCTCGCCTCTCTCCACAGAGTTTACCGGAAAAGTTTGTTTTTGGCTTGCGCCATTTTTTCGTGAAGGCCAACATTCAGTCATCAGTCAATACGGCAAGAATGATATTCTCAGCTTACCCCAAGGGCGTTTTATTAAGTTCGCCATCTACTTCTCCTACGAGCGCTAGTCCAGGTGTTGAGGTCTTAGCCGCCGCGTCACCTCGTCCTTGCCTCACTCGCTCCCCTCCTCTGTTCGTGCCTCACGCAGAAGCGGAACTTCATGATTTGCGGACATCAGCGCCAGTGCCAGGGGCGCGTGCATGACTGTCACTTCTACAACGCCGACTCGACCGTGTGCTTCGCTGACGGCAAGGACGGCGCCCACCGCCGCTACGACTGGATCGAGTTCGAGAACGGCCAGAAGCTGGGCCGCGTCGGCCGCTGCTCCGACTCACGCAAGGTGACCGCTCGGGCAGCCGGGGGAAGACGAAGGCGTACTGACCGGCAGGAGTGCGTCTGAAATGATGCGAATGATGTAGACAAAGGTGATATGGTGGCTGCCCACGCCTTTATACGGTGCACGCACACGAAAAGTGTGCGTGCAAGCACGAAAGTGAGGTCAGCCTGTCTATTCAGCTGCGTGGTATGAACAGAGTGAATGTGTCATGGGTCAGAAGGGCTGCCAACCTCGCACACCGCACAGACAGACTTTTGTCGAGGCGTTGCTCTCAGGAGTTATGTGCGGCAGAAGAGATAACGCAACTGTGGCCTGAAAGTGACTCACGGTGTCCTGTGTGACTCACGGTGTCCTGTGTGACTCACGGTGTCCTGTGTGACCGCTGTTCCGCGTTCCGCTCCGACCGTGCTGGGTGGCGTTGATAGTTATACCGCCGACAGGATTTCCAATTGGGCAGGGCGTGCAGAACAGTGAAATGCTAGCGGCGTAGATGTTATTCTGATATGCAGGTGTGGAGTATGTCAGCGCGAACCGAGCGTAGTTGAGTCACGTGTAGCTCATCTACCTGCCACCAGGTGGACAGCTGGTGGCGCAACCTGTTCTGGCACTGCTCGTACTGCTTCTGCCTGTGTGACGACCCCACCAACTCGGAGCGGTACTTCAGTCTGCAGCCAGTGGTGGCCGACGTCGCCCAGAACAAAGTGTTGACCGGGGTCAGGTGAGCCGTGGTCTAGGGCAGCCGCGCACGCCCGCCTTTCACTGGGGATTTGAAAGACGATATTGGGGATATATATATATATATATATATATATATATATATATATATTTATATAAATGTATATACATGTATATTTAATCGGTGGAAAGAAAGAAATATCGAGCTGTACTTATTGTGCTCAAGCTATTGCGATTTGTTTGGTCTCTGTGACGTCATTTGTGTTGCCATCTGAGCCTCGTTAGCACACAAATGAAAGCTGGTTTTGTGACGTCTATCATATATGTACATGGTACCTGGGAAGGCTATCTAACTAGGGTATGCTATCTAGGTACCTGGCTGCTGTACGATGAATAGCACGTTGACCTGTGACTGACAGTCATGGACATATAGGTGTAAGTGTTCTTAATAACAATAGTGTTCTCAATAGACAGCTCTCGACCATCCATATACTACCAGGTACTGGTTGAACATTACCAAGCGAGCATTGGATATGGTAGGAATACTCGGCGTTCGAAGAGCTGTGCGTAGGATTGCGAATGATCAAGACCAGGGAATGGTAAACAGCGTTTTACATTTTAGGGGCCAAGACAAGTGAAGCCGGAAACTTTTCATAACCTGTGCAGGCATTGTCACTAAAAAATGTCAGAATGATAAATAATCCAAGCTCTCTCATATAAATACTGGATGCGCGGACGACGCTTTGGGCTGCGTAAAACACGACGGCCAGACCGAAAGGTTACGATAACCCACACCGAATGCTAGGTTGGAAAATTACTTGCCGCGAATATCAGGCACGTCGAACATTGCTCGAAACCCACACGGATCCTGAAGTTCAGGGTCTCGGGTCTTAGTGCCCAATATGCGGTGCTGTTGTGGGCTTTCCGAAACACAAACGGCTAAACCGAAAAGGTTTGATTACCATTACCGAAAAATAGGACGGAAAATGATTGCCACCGGTCGTCGATATTTATCACAACGAATATAATATACAATTATTTCTTTATGTGATGTATTTAAGACCGCATGAACTAATCGGTGAAGTTTTGTTGTTTAGAGTAGTGTTTTTCACTTAAACATATTACTAGTTACGATTTTTTCATTCACATCTGATGCTTGTCTCAATGTCTTCAAATGTGGAGCAGTCCCTGTAAGCGACTGTGGAGAAGATTGACCGCAGACATGCCGCACTGCTGTGGATAGAACAAGAGGAAAACTTACAACACAGTTGCCTGACAGTTGTTTGACGTGGGACACGACGCAGTTGACCTACGTAGACACGTTGAGATCATACTGCCTTGGACATGTGCTTTTCTGCTACCTTCGTACACAAAAGTTACTTGATGTTCTCCAATGTAGGTTCGTGAAGAAGGACCGAGTCTTCTACATCCAGATTGAGCAGGGGACAGCGAACCAGTTTGGCTTCGTCAATGCTTCTTCCGTGGAATGGAAGCCAATCTCCAAGCTTATTGACATCGACAGGTCAGTGTTGGCGTGCCCCCACTGAGGTCAGCCCTTTGTGTATTTTGTTTGGGATCCTTGATTTTCTAGTAGTAATCGACGCGACCGAGTGTGCCGAGTGCGCGTGCATCAAATGTGATCCCATTAATGACTTGTGGCCATGACCTTAAAGTTTGCTATGATTGAAGTATTTGCTACACATCCAACTCCGGGAGTGTCAATTTTTGTAAAGTATTGGGGGGGGGGGGCGAACCGAAGGTCCGACAACCTACCCTCCTCCCCATTTTTCTCACCGGATTTAGCCCACTTTGTTTTGATTAAACGCAGTATATGTTGTTAAGCATACATTATACGTTTTCAATATTTGTATAATTGATAAGTCTTTAATTTAAGCAGTATAAGTCATGTAGGGCTGGATCCAGGGAACAGGCACTGATCGCACGCGTCCCTTCTGATCGGCACGTGAAGGTACCCCCTAAGAGGTCACCTTAGGGCGCCGATGGCGCTCTTCCATGACGGTCATGAGAAACGGCACGCATTTTGGTTGTGGGGGACGAGGGCGGGGCCATCCCCATATTGCAAAGCTTTTCACTTTAGCCTCACAGACCATTGCGTGTCTTGTGGCTTTAGGTATGTGAAATTTATTGCATCGTTTATCCGCTCAGCTGTTACGATTTGTATCTTGTGGTAAGAGCAACCGCGACTTTTTGTTATGAGAGGTACTACACGCCACGACGCAGAAAGATCCACGAAGATAGCCTTTGTGTCATGATCATCTTTTACCCACGTTTTTGTAGTATTCCAGTCAACATTGGGGGGGGGGGGCAGCTCAACATTGCGGGGGGGGGCAGGGCCCTCAAAAAAGAATACAAATCGACACCCGCGTTAAACTCTGTAACAGAGCGAGTAATATTGTTCGAGCCATGCAGCATGTTATGTGTTAGTTCCGTCAGTCAGTCAGTTTTGCTACTTATACAGCTACAGCCAACTTTGTGAAGCTTGGAAATTATGTTTGACGGTCGAAAGCCATCTTTTCGTTTTCCTATTTAGAAGGCGCTGGTAAAACTTCAGGTGCCTGCAAGCAGAAGTCCGCCTTCTGCTTGCCAACAGATTAAGGTCACTCCTTCAAACGTGGGTGGCAAAGTCCATCATTAGACAACCAAGAATCATCAAACCGTTATTTTCGAGCCAATGGGGCCAATTTTGAGTCAACAACCCCGTTTGAAACCCTCGTACTTTTAATCGCATGCGAATCAGCTCCTCTGGTTATCATAGACGCAGAAGCCAGGTGTGGCAGTGAAAAAAAAATCAGAGCAACGCATGTCGAGATGTACGCTCTGGCAATTTTCATAGGTCACATTGACCGCCCTTTTTTGTCAGTGTGTCATTAATAAACAATTGGTCAAACCACGTTGACCCCTATATCATTGAACTTGGAATAAACCAAGAAAGATTTTGCTATCCCGGAATCTCACTTAATAAAACTTATGACGCGACTTTGTGACCTAATTGTCAAAAATGTTCTTCACGTGTTTGGCAAGTGAAAGTTGTATGATATTTAAAGGCGATTTAAGCTTTACCAGTGCACTCTGAAATCAACAAAAACGTGTTTTTTCGTGTTTGTTTATTCGCAATTTGGCTGTCGGGTGTCTAGCTGTTCGTTCACCTATAGCTTGTTCGTGTTTGTTTTATTAAGGAAAATTGACAAATGTCCAACTATACTTAGAACCACTTAAATAAATACTGTGTTGCCATGCAAAGGCGTAATTTCACTTAACGAGTTGGAGCTAAACGGTGAAAAATGACCCGAGCTACCCCAGAATATGCCATCAAACATGTTTGTCACGGAACTTTGCCCACTTCGCAAAGTGAGGGGGCTTCAGCTCCCCCAATCAAATGAGAAATTACACCCCTGCCGCGATGGTGTTCCAGTTGCTGCAATGCGTTTCGCTTCTGATGAGTTCCAAGACATTGTACAGCGGTCACCATTAGTACATAGGCACCATTAGACAGGGCTTCGATGAAACCCGACCCAATATTATCGAGATCAAATGAACGCGATTTGTCAACAAGAACTTCGTGGAACAACGCGGAGCCAAGGGATTCATCGAAGAGGAAGACAATAATGATGACATTTTTTGGGTGAATGGAGATTTTCAGAGCCCAGAAATAAAGGCCCTGCGCTCCAACTTGGCCAGTGCAGCCCTGGCGCTCCAAAACATGACCGTGGCAAGGTACACCGCGTTTCGTATAAACATAACAGTAATGGCTGGCTGTGTCACCAGCGTTTGTTTAGCTGTTGTAAGCGGATCGCTTTCGGTAAGTTTTGACACGCTGCTGCCTTCCATCAGGGACATCCCCAATCGCGACTATCTGAAGCTGAGCTGGGCGAGACGCAGCATTGACTTGGACGACCTCCGCGCCCCCGATGGTCACGTGATCACCGGAGTCACGTTCAGGAAGCTGGGCGAACATCTCAATCTGGAAGTCCAGGTACGAGTTGTCACGCATGTGGCTTAAACGCGTCTGGTTGCCTGCTTGGCCTGTGGGCAGGAGTAAGCGTTCTGGTTGATCATCGATGGAATGAATGAGTGATGGTCAATGATTGGCCCAGCTGAGGCAGGTCTTACAGGTTACAGACCGGAATGGTCAGCGTTTTGTGCTTTTATCGTCGGGCGGAAAAAGCTGACGATGATGTGCCACCATTTCCGGTTACAAGCCTCAGAATCAAAGTGTTATTGTCACCATGTATCATTTTAGTCTCTTTTAACGCGGAAAGAAGTGTCGCAGTGAGCACGTGGCTGGCATGTTTTCTCAGTGGCTTCTCCGTGTTGTGTCCTGCGCGTTTCCGGACCCCGCAGGTTGCAACACGACGGCCATCCATGTCGCGGCTGGTAGGACTTTCTGTATGAGGTCGCCGCCCGACTCACGGTGTCGCCCGCTCAGGTGACCCCGATTGCGGCTCGCACGGCCCAGCTGAGTGTCTCCCGCGCCTACTGGATCTCCAACGACAACACGCCGTCGGCACTGCGCACCCCGCGCGCTGAGCTGTCGCTGGGCCGCGACCCGGACGTGCCGACGCGGACGGGCGCACCCAGCTGGCCCGACAGCGCGCCCGACACGTTCGTTCAGTTCGGCGCCAGCTCGGCGGCGCGTGACGCGGCGCAGACGACGCTGCCGTTCCTGGACAGCCAACCGGTGGCACCGCGGCCGCCCGTCTGGCTGACGGGCCTCGGCTTGTACCACAAGGGCCGGCCGGGCTACGGGGGCTTCCTGGGCCTGCGCGTCGAGACGGTGGACCTGACGTCTCGCGTGGCCGCCGACTTGGGTGGCGGTGATGAGCTCTCGCCTGACGGCACCATCACCTACGAGTCGCACGAGGTTGGGGACGTCAACATCGTGCTGCAGTGACGGAAGGCTCGACGTGCGGGGAAGGCAATATACAAAAACAAAAACGGCCACAACGCGCGATGCAGGCTCAAGGTCGGGGAGTGTCAAAATGTGGGGAGGACACGCCGGGCGAGTGCATTTCACCACAGCGAGCTGAGGGGACGAAAGAGAAAGGGCCCGTTTTGGCCTTAATTGGGATGAAAAGAGGAGCTTCTGCCGAATCCAGAATTTTCTGCAGAAACGGCGAGTTTTTACCTATTCAAGTGAAATGTGTGAAAGCATACATTGTGATGAACTAGGAGCTCAGTGTGGCAATTTTTTCAGCTGTGCTACACGAGGTGGAAGTAAGACAATAGTGTGCGATGTATCCCATACAGTGGAAGCTTGACACCTAATGCGCTCTAATGCAATCCACGTCTAATGCGATCCTTACGAAGACTGCAGAAGGATCAGCGAATCGTGCACATTTCAGGAGGACGCGGGTGCTCATTCGAATTGTAGTAACCGCGCCAGCGAGCATTGCTTCCGTGCTTGGGTGGACCCATTATTAGGCTTTGCGGCTGTAGTAGAGCCGCAAAGTTTGGCTGTTTGCACTTTTGCCTGCTTTTGCGCACTGGTTAAATCCATAACATCGCTTGATCACCATGCCAAGGGGCATTTCACCTGGAATCCAGTGCTATGGCCTTCGCTAGTTTCTGAGATTAATAGTGGCGTCTGCAAGACCGCTGACATGTCCTTTTTTAAATGTTGTTAAGCTGTGACCGCACGAATCGGGGTAGGTTCTGACAAACTAAGTATTGTGATCGTCATACATAATATATCGGAACATATTGTCACCGATCCATTTAATCGCAACGGATCTCGTCTGCTTCCATCGCTGACTCGTATGAGTACGGAATCATCTGTTTCACAAAACGACTGACTAGAGAACACAGTCGTGTTGTTTGCTCAACTGTATAGCTACTCGAAGCGCCGTTCGTTCTGGACATGATGTCCGAATCAGCAAGGCCAAGACATCGTGCCTCGAGGCGAACGCTCAGGACAGTGAATGGGGGTCGATCGCTTTTGCCACCTAAAACACGGGGTTTCCGGTTGTTTTGTTCGCTGCTGAGGGGCGTATCTTTGGTCGCCTTCACTGGCTATCACCCACTGGTCACCCCGTGAGTGACGCACCTATGGTCACCTTCACCGGCTATCACCCACTGGTCACCACTGAGGGGCGCACTTTTGGTCACATTCACCAGCTATCGTCCGTTGCTCACCTTTGTCACGCTGGTCGCGAATGAGCCAAGTTTTACACGCGCTCCACCTGGGGCCTGATTTAAGAGGGTGTGCGTCCAGAAGACAACGCCCATGGCCTAGGCTTATCTAGGGATTATCTTTCTAACTACATAGATAGCATCCAATGCCCAACTATCTTGGTCATGCGATGTAACCACTTGAAGCGATATTTTGAGCCAAAATGTAGATCTGCCATTTTTTCGTCTTCTGACTGCAGACGAAACAAGCTGTGCGACGTTGGCGCCCCAGCTGTCCGAAATCGTTACTTTTTTATAAATACCAGCATCCTCTCGATAAAGGGGGGTCACGGATACAGCCAGATAAAGCCTTCAACCATTGCCTCATAACATGAAGAAAGACCCTTTCCACAAAGTACTGAAGATTCAACCGACGAATTGAACAAAACTGAAGTGAATTCACTTCTGTCATTGCTTCGATAAAGGCATGTTGCTGATGCATCGACCCATCGATATCTTCATTCTCCTGGTTCTTCTCCGAGAAATAAGGCTATCACTGCTGTCTTATCTATGCGAATAACACTCCTCGCAAACGCACTTAACAGCTTGAGTCCTGAAAATCCACGAAGACCCCTTGCGGATGCCGCGTGAACGCTTAAGCTCCCTTAACTCGAAATATAACGGAGACGTTGGCAAAGTTCAACCAAAAGTTAAGCCAAAGTTCAGAGCTCAATTTTGAATGCGACGCGATCTTTAAAAAAATATAATTTTATACTCCCATAGGGCTGGGATGACCCTATTGATATTTTCCCTTTTCATATCTGGACTTGATCCGGAGAACCACGGAGAAGTGTTTAAAGAAGGACAGTGCCTTTACCCGGACATCAGCGCAATGGGTCATTGGAAACAGTTGTTTTCAAAGGAAGAGATGCCTGCAAAATACGGCTGGACTTAATGCTGTTGCAAACCGGACACAGGGCATTCCATTTGCATTTGCAAATACTATCATCCCATCTCTGCCTGTGCATCATGTAGATGAAGTAGAGAATAAAGTATGCGACGTCGTCCCAAGCTGAGTTAAGTTGCTCTGCAACGGACTAAAAATTCGCAATCTGCATAGGAAACAAGTAATTTAACATACCGCACTGCATTCGTGACGAAAAAATTCAACTTTGTGGATGAATAGCTTGAACGATATAGTTTGACGATCAACTGGCGAATTTATTACTCTAGCCTATTCTCACCGGGGTTCATGGCCCAAAAAAGGAGCTGAAATCGTCACGTGTCTATTATGCAGTAAAAATTGGCGAAAGCGCGCGCAGCGCCACCTTCAGCAGACGGCGGCAGCCAACAGCGACAGCAGGCGGCGGGCAGTGGCCGGCTGCAGCGTCGGCGCACAGTGCGGGGCGGCGTCCGAACGACAGCCGCTGGTGGCACAGCCTGGCGGGCTACCACCCACACACGGGCCGGCGCCGTCCACCGGTGGCCGGCTGCAGCATCGGCGCACAGAGCGGGGCGGCGTCCGAACGACAGCCGCTGGTGGCACAGCCTGGCGGGCTGCAACCCGTGCACGGGCCGGCGCGGTCCACAGCCGCAGCGCGTGGTAGGGCTGGAGCCACCTCTGAGCCGAGCACCGCACAGAGTGCTCCGCCCTAGATGGGCTCCAGGCGGAGTAGGAGGGCGGCGAGTGCCGTGGCCGCCCGCTCCTTGGTGGCCCAGCGTGGCCCGTCGCTAGCGCCCGACAGCACCGTGTAAGAACCGGGCCGCACGCGCAGCTCCAGCACGGCGCTGCACGCCACCCGGCCCAGCACCGGCTCCGTGTACCTGGCGGCAACAGGGCGCGGTCAGTGGCGGCGGCGACGCAGAGACCACAGTTGTCACACGTCAGTTGAAATTTACAGACAAGTTATTCGGTGTACGCATACAAGTTATTCGTATTTTATTGTATATCAGTATCGAATTTTATTATATATTCGTATCGTAAGTATATTAAGTATTTACAGCAAGTTATCCGGTGTACGTGTACGACATGTGTAACTGATGTATTTCGTTCGGGGCAAGGGCGCTGCCATGCTGGCCCACCCCCGGGACCGACTGGCCGACCGTCTGTAGGCAGGGGCGCTGAGAGACTGGCCCGCCGCCCGGGTCGGCCGGCCGACCGTCTGTAGGCAGGGACGCTGACAGACTGGCCCGCCGCCCGGGTCGGCCGGCCGACCGTCTGTAGGCAGAGGCGCTGACAGACTGGCCCGCCGCCGGGGCTGGCTGGCCGACCGTCTGTAGGCAGGGGCGCTGACAGACTGGCCCGCCGCCGGGGCTGGCTGGCCGACCGTCTGTAGCATTGTACTATGAGCGGTCACGTGACCAACAGGTCGCGTTGGAGACGGGCGTTTGGCTGCTTCTGGTGATCTACGTGCAGGCTGGTCATGTGCCAGCTCGCCGGAGATTTGCACGCTTGCTGATGATCTCCCAGCTGGCTGGTGGACTGGGTGCTGCTGATGCCGCTGCTGCACGTATGTAGTCTGCTGCTGGCGCCTGCTGTACGGATGTTGACTGCTGCTGGTGCCTGCTGTACGGATGTTGACTGCTGTTGGTGCCTGCTGCACGGATGTAGGCTGCTGCTGGTGCCTGCTGTACGGATGTAGACTGCTGCTGGTGCCTGCTGCACGGATGTTGACTGCTGCTGGTGCCAGCTGTACGGATGTAAACTGCTGTTGGTGCCTGCTGCACGGATGTAGACTGCTGCTGGTGCCTGCTGTACGGATGTAGACTGCTGCTGGTGCCTGCTGTACGGATGTAGACTGCTGCTGGTGCCTGCTGCACGGATGTAGACTGCTGGCGGTCGGCTGCATCCTGACGGCTGCTGTCTGCTGGCAGGTATCTAGCCGCCACCAGGGCCGTTGTATAATGGTGACGGCTCCTTCTGCCTGGGGTTGATTTAGCGCGACCGGAGGCTGCCACGTGCCCTTGGCTGCAGGGATCCCTCCTGGCTCTGCAGCTGCTGTGTGCTGCTGGTTGTCAGACAAACCCCGTACACTGCAACTGCTGCATGGCGCGCTGGTAGCCAGAATCTGACGGCGTGATCGGCATCTGCTGCCTACGGGGCTGCCGTCTGCTGACTGCTGCTTACGGGGGCTGCTGCCTGCTGCCTGCTGCCTGCTGCCTGCTGCCTGCTGCCTGCTGCCCGCTGCCTGCTGCCTGCTGCCTGCTGCCTGCTGCCTGCTGCCTGCTGCCCGCTGCCTGCTGCCTGCTGCCTGCTGTCTGCTGCCTGCTGCCTACGGGGGATGCTGCGTGCTGTCTTCTGCCTGCTGCCTGCTGTCTGCTGTCTGCTGACCGCTGTCTGCTACCCCCCGGGGTTGCTCCCTGCTGACTGCTGACTGCTGCCTACGGGGGCTGCTGCCTACTGCCTGCTGCCTGCGGGCCGCCATCTGGCGTTCGCAGACTGCTGCGAATCAGGCGGCGGTCTGACTGCAACTCGGGCCAGCTTTTCCCTGAGCTGTGACAGCTGGGTTCACTAGCTTTGGGCTGGTATCAGTCGACTGCATGGTTGGTAGCCGCTTGCATCTGTTGCGTGCCGCATCTGATGAATTTGAGTTTGGTGAGTGACCAGTCCGGTTGCTGAGTGGCTGTTGGATGTACTGTATAATCAGTTATTTGTTGAGCTATGGGATTAGTCATTTACTGAGCTACGGGATTAGTCTGACGATTGACAGGCCGCTGTTTAGTATTGTCGTTGGGTTAGTACCTCGCAGTGTTTGTGATTCATGGGAGTGATATTATGTGGATTACCGATGAATGCTACGAATTGGTCACACAAATGTGCTAAGGTATAGGAATGGTGCTGTAATCAAATCGAGGGGAGACCGTTGGCGAGTACGGAGATCGATGGTGATCGAGCAAGTGAGGTTTGCAGTCTAACGCACACTTTGCTGCGGGGTTGCCGAAGTTCAGGGGTGACTCATTTTCCAAAACGTTCGAAGATTTCAGGACCTTTGGTCGACTTCAATGGTGAGACGCGGACGCACCAAGAGACGTGCTCCCCATGCCTTTCGGACACTACGCGAGATGTCTATGATGATCTTTCTGTCGACCAGAAGGCCTCGTTTGACCTCACTGTGCCTGGCATCCAGTGGTCCCTCTCAGGGCGCGCCGCGACTGATTGTGACATGACACTTAGCACCTTCAACAATGGCCCCGACCAGTATCTTAACACATATGATACTCAGCGCCTTCAACAATGGCCCTGACCAGTATCTTAACACATATGATACTCAGCACCTTCAACAATGGCCCTGACCAGCATCTTGACACATATGATACTCAGCGCCTTCAACAATGGCCCTGACCAGTATCTTAACACATATGATACTCAGCGCCTTCAACAATGGCCCTGACCAGTATCTTAACACATATGATACTCAGCACCTTCAACAATGGCCCTGACCAGTATCTTGACACATATGATACTCAGCGCCTTCAACAATGGCCCTGACCAGTATCTTAACACATATGATACTCAGCGCCTTCAACAATGGCCCTGACCAGTATCTTAACACATATGATACTCAGCACCTTCAACAATGGCCCTGACCAGTATCTTAACACATTTGTTATCCATCTGATAAAAGCAATACCCCTGTTTTTCCCGGCCACGTTCTCGATGGTCTTTTTTCGATCCTTTTCAGACGTTCTTACGCCGATCAAGAATAAACCAAATCCGGGGCTAGCCATGACGAACAACACGCGTTCACCGGCCGCCATACAAGTCATGCATTACACTGAACTTCAGGCTAATGCCACTCTCGAACCCGACTTTTTATGCGATATATATATATATATATATATATATATATACACATATATATATATATATACATATATATATATATATATATATATATATATATATATATACAATCTTTTTTTGGAGTGTGGACACAAGGTGAGCAGAGTTTCCGAAGGTTTCAAGACTACATGAACCCTCTCCACCCATCCATTTAGTTTTCAACCTAACGTTAGGATGAACACGGTGCCATCCGGTTTTTAAGGGAACGTTTAACATTTAAAGATATTAAAGTCAACATCAGATATAATGAAGCAAACTCATAATTATAGGTACACTTTTTAAGTGGAAGACTGCTCTGGACAGCACAATTTTGTTTGGTTAATCCGCACCCCAATGCGTCATGATTTGATTACGTCATCGTACCCCGCACAACATTGAGAGCCAATTGACGGCTGTTATGTCTGAAAATCACGCTCACGAACACCAGATATGCACGCCTCGACAAATATATCCTTCTCGGCCTTGATCGCCGCGCGGCTTATGAAATGGCAGGATGCCATTTGTTATGGCATCTGTTCCTCTTTCATCCACGTAGCATTCATTCCCTGCAGCAGACCATCTCGCCCGTAAGTTGGAAAACAACGGATATCCGCCAGGTTAATTTTCATCATAATTAAACAAGTAAGCTTCAGCCCCGACCATCCCCCAAAAATGAAACAAATATGGCGCACATCACATTAGCCAGCATCGACGACCTATACCGTAAGGTCGAAACATTTGTGCGAGACAGTGACGCAGAATTCAGTGACCTTGACACATCGTACATTGCGAAAAGATTGGTGCCATCCTAGGGTCACCAAAACAGCACCTGGTGCGTGCCGACCTGCGCAGACCGGCGTGCCCCATGAGAAGGGGCCAGTGCGTTCCAGGTCACTAGATTTGACAGCGCTTGCTCCACCAGTCGTGCAGTGCGTCAGGCCGCATGCCCTCTGCGTTTGGTCACCTTCACAGGAGTGTATTCGCCCGGTGCGTGAAAGGCTTTTTGACCATCGATGCGCAGCATTCAGGAAGAACATCAACAACCCGGCTGGGCTTCATTTTCGGATCCATCTCGGATTTGATGCGCTTCTTTCACGCAAATACGCAGGACAATATTGTGCGTATCTCCTAGGCACGTAGAAAGAAAACTAAAAGAAAAGATCTTCATTCGTACTATAAAATCTTCCACAGACAAAACCGCCAGCAGCTAGCCCATATCAAGGTAGCCAACAACACTTGCTCGCCATCGATCCCACGATCTCAGTACCTTTCTCTTGTATGCCCGTAATTGTCCTTGCATACCCGTTCGTCATGATTTACGTCGTACTTATATTGTCATTTGCTCGCCCTATTTCTGTCATCGAATCTCCTGTTTCTTTTCGCAACGTGCGAGATGTTTGCGAGGTGAAGATGGTCCAAGCTATTAAAATGCGTCGGTGTAATCTCTTAAGTGCCCCTACATACGTACCACGTTCCGACTTCTCATAAAGCTTTGCATTGTATTTTACAGCCCACCATAATATACAAATTTCAAGTCACCTGAAGAAGAAACGCCTGCCGAAATAAAACGAATTTTGCGACTTATTTTCGCATTTCATTTCAGTGTAATACTGCAGTTAGGAGTATACGGTGTCCTAATGAGCGCAGGTAAAGTCGAAGACCCGCCTGGGATCACGTCAAGACGGAGACTGACCTGAGGGCAGGCCAGGTGGCGCCGAGACCCGCCTGAGATCATGCCACGACGGAGGCTGACCTGAGGGCAGGCCAGGTGGCGCCGAGACCCACCTGGGATCATGTCACGACGGAGACTGACCTGAGGGCAGGCCAGGTGGCGCCGAGACCCAACTGGGATCACAACACGACGGAGACTGACATGAGGGCAGGCCGGGTGGCGCCGAGACCCAACTGGGATCACCTCACGACGGAGACTGGCATGAGGGCAGGCCGGGTGGCGCCGAGACCCGCCTGGGATCACGTCACGAAAGACTGACCTGAGGGCAGGCCAGGTGGCGCCGAGACCCGCCTGGCGGAGGGACGGGAAGAAGACGAGCTCAGCCCGGCCCGAATCGTCGTCCTTGCTGCGCCCCATCACCAGACCCTGCATACCCAGCTCCCCTGCCGGCCAACAGCACCAGATGCAGTCAAGGCACTCACCACAAGGCGGTGAGCGTGAAACCAATGCTAAACAGGCCGATGGGGATGACACGATGAAGTCCGGTACAGTCTGCCTAATTAGTATCGCAAGTCGCATTCAGGTGCGGAACGCGGCGACCAGCCCAGGTTGAGATCCTCAGCACCAGCCACCCTAAGTGGTTACAAGTCAGCGGCGAGAGGTCCACTCGCGCGTTCGCGGAAGGCGGGGGATGCGGCCGAATACAGCGTCCGGATCAGTCCAAGTGTGGTAAACTGGATCTAACCGACTTCAATTTTACTTCTGAGGGAGTGAGACGAGAGCCCACCGATCATTTATCAATTAAATAGTTGTGGTTTCATGGCTCGCTGAAAATATTTCAGCAAGGAGTCTGGCAAAGCCGCCACGCGGGCTCGTTATAGGCCTTCGTCATGATTACTACGCGGTTGCCATCCTGTCAGATCCCTGAATGAATCGTCCGTCCATTCATTTCCTTCGCATGCATTTGCGACCAGGTTTGATCGCAGCTGGTTTTGTAGGCCGTTTAATGTTTTGAACGCATGATTCATTCTTTCGAGTCACTCGTTTGGACAGATCTGTTAACGATGGAGTAGAGCATTTTGCGAAGAATTGTTAGCAGCATCGTTCAGACCTGTTGAAGTCGTCCGAACTTGACCGTGCGGAGAATCAAAACCAAAGCACGCATATGGAACAAGTTATGCCGAACCCGTTCAGTGAAAAAACCTTATTTGTGACATTAAATATTAGTTGTGCGTAAATGATCGTAGACAACTGACAACCACCGTGTAAATACATTTTTTTCTGAGGAAAAAATATGCTTAACACTGCCGCACGTTGGTAGCACCTTTGGATAAGCACGTCTTTGCTTGCGAGTGCTTTGGATATCAGCATGTTCTCTGAGTTCGTATGGGCATGACTTCAAATGGTTTTGGTAAGCACTGGTGGTCGTAAACGCAAAAGACACACATGCTTAAGTTATATCTTTTGATTGCTTGATCGGCAGGTTCGACCACCAACTGTCTCCATATTATCGAGGCATCGCACGATAAAACACCGCCCATGCTGCGTACTGCTGCTGCGCTCTCCACTGCCGCACATGCCACAGAACTGATAACGTCTCTGACAATCCTCCACAGCCAGTCCTGAAGGATTGAGTGCCCTTTGTTAAAGGCTTTCGCCAGATATTTAAGAAGATTTTCCAGAGGCGCTACGACTGACATTCCTTTCAGAGCAGCCCTTCTTTCGCCTGGAGCAACCGACTCTCTTTGGCAAGTTCAGCCGCCCCACCGCACCCTCGTCCCCCGATCATCCCCTCCCTTCTTCTTTTTCAAGTGGCGCCCAGTTTCGATGCGACGGTACCACCGCCTGCGGAGACTTGCGATACTTATTACAGAGGCTGCATGCTCACGTGTTTGACCTCATCTGCCACGCTGGCAGCCGCACAGGGAAATGCATTCAAGTCTTGCAACGAATCGATCCACAAAGATCAAACTAGATCGTCAAACTCAACATCGAATCGGATACCACGGAATGTCACGTGACAAAACCCGATGTGAGAGCAGGATAGCCATACGGTGCTATGAACTATCTGTATGACCAGACGGGCAATGGAACGTAACTAGGTGACAGTTTACGTAAGTATGCTCGCAAGACCCAGCATTCCACCGCAAAACATGTTCATGCCAGATTCCATCCAAAAGCGATGACCGCCACCGCGAGCGAGCCCCGGTGCGCCGACCGGTGCCCGCCCATTGGGGTGGCGTCTAGCAGCCCTGGCTGCCAGTGGCGCCAGCAGTGGCGCCCGTCTCCCTCTCCGTCGGCGTCGCACCTGGCACCAGCAGTTGGCCGCGGTCCAGTGTGCGTCGCACGTCGCCCAGCCGGAGAGGCGCGAAGGCCGCGTGCCAGCCGGGGTCGACGGCGGCCGCCAGCGGCAGGCGGCACCAGCCGGCGGCGCGGCCCGGCTCGGCCGTCGTCACAGCCGCCGCTGCCGCAGCGCCGCGCAGCCGGCAGCACGGCTCGCATAGGCACTGCGCCGGCTCCGACGAGAAGTACTCGTCTGCCGGCATGAGCGCCGCTCGTCAGGCGGCTGCGTGGACACATGGCCACGACCACGGCATCAGCAGGCGCACACCAACCCACCGCCAGCAGAGGAACACACTGCGCTGCAGCGGATGCATGCACCTCTGTCCCCAGACAGAATCACGGGAGAAAGATGATCTCCATCTTCCAGCCGCGAAACCATGCTCCGTTGAGCAGAAAACAGCTTGATTCAGCTTCAAAAGACTTACGCCAGTATCAAAAACAAATCCGTAAAACAGGGATAAGCATGCTAACAATAGCCCAGTGACTAAGAGTACGGCCAAGTACCAGGCGGGCAGTCCGATGACTAACAGTATGGCCAAGTACCAGACAGGCAGTCAAATAACTTAGAGAATGGCCAAGTGCCAGATAGGCAGTCAAATATCTAAGAGTATGGCCAGGCACCAGACAGACAACCAAACAACTAAGAGTATGGCGAGGTACCAGACAGGCAGTCAAATAACTAAGAGTATGGCCAAGTACCGGACAGCCCGATGACTAAGAGTACGGCCAAGCACCAGGCAGCACGCCAAACGACTAACAGTATGGCTAAGTACCAGGCAGCACGCCAAACGACTAACAGTATGGCCAAGTACCAGGCAGGCAGCCAAACAACTAACAGCATGGCCAAGTACCAGGCAGGCAGCCAAACAACTAACAGCATGGCCAAGTACCAGGCAGGCAGCCAAACAACTAACAGCATGGCCAAGTACCAGGCAGGCAGTCAAATAACTAAGAGTACGGCCAAGTACCAGACAGGCAGTCAAATAACTAAGAGTACGGCCAAGTACCGGGCAGGCAGCCCGATGACTAACAGTACGGCCAAATACCAGACAGGCAGTCAAACAACTAAGAACACGGCCAAGTACCGGGCAGGCCGAGGGCAGCTTTGAAGCGTAGGCAGGCGTTCTGGAAGGTACAGTTCTTCATGACGGCGGGCGCCACGTCGGGAGGGGCGCGCTCGGCGCCGTGCAGTCTGCGGAGAGGATCGGCCGAGGGCCACTCCTCCACCGCCCCGTCCGACTGGCACACAGAAACCTGGCGGCAGGCGCGCGTCAGCGACGGCGCGGTGCACCGCACGACCGTCGGCTCGGCCTTCCACCACTCCAGGACAGGCTTCACACATTGTCTCGGCAAACTCCTTGATCACACGAGCAGGCAATGACAGCGTTTGCTACGTCATGGACGGGCAGCAAATCGATACATGGAACTAGCTACGGCTGCGCCCAAAATGTTACCCGCGCCGATCGAATCTGCCCAGCTGCCGGGCGGCCACGGCCCGGCTCCTGTTGGGCGCCGCATCAGACGCGGCCGCCGCCCGGCACCCCTCACCTGCACACACTGGCCGTAGAGATCGAGCAGCGCGTGGCAGGGCGTGCTGACGGGCGCGGCGGCCACGCCCTGGTCCGCGCCGTTGACGTACAGGTGGAGCCGCGCCTGCGCGTCTACCATGACGCCCACCAGGTGGCCCGACGACAGCGTGTCCAGGTCCACACCGTACCGGCTGCGGACCTGAGCAGCCCACATCCCGTGCGGGTTCGAGGGGGGACGGAGCGGTACAGTAAGCGGAGCTCTGACAGGGTTCAGCAGACGAATTTCGATTTCGGGGGGGGGGGGGGGGCTGTAGGAGAGAGGGGCCTGTAGCACGGGGGTGTTTGAGACATAAGTTGGCTCAGACAACACAGACAAGTTGGATCGAGAGTCGAGACGCGTGACAACAGCGAGAGTCACAGGTGATCACAGATCACAGATCGGGCAGAGATCGCCGGCAGCACACGGCGAACGGCAACTACAACGTGGCCACTGTTTGATTTCGCCTTTGGGGCACATCGCCTAGTCCAAGCACTGCCTTGCCACAACCAGTGCGTTATACTACGGACAATCAACTGTCACTGCTGGACTGCCACGGTCCTGACCTCTGCCAATAACATGAGATGCCAAATTATTACAATCAGGCCTCGCCCGTTATCTCACTTCAGAAAAGTACGATAACGTGGCGAGGTCGTCTCGCTCAGGTCGTGTCCGGACAACACGATCAAGTGGCGGCCCACTTCCAGTGTTCGCAGGACAACCACGACATAACCGTCAGGTTCACGGCATTCATAAGTATCTGTGACGAGTGTGGCGGAGGTTCTGGCCACTGGGCGGATACCTTGACGCCGTTGTGAAAGACGGCATCGGATGCGATGTACCACGCAGCTCGGCGTAGTCCTAGGGCCGACACGGGCAGGCTGGAGGCCCGCTCCGGACTCAGTCGGCACACGCCCACCATCAGCGACGAGCTCCAGCACGGCAGCAGCCGCTCGATCCGCACCTGCCCACCATCCGGCGATGGTCACACCAGACTCACAGAGCACACCTGACGCAGCCGTTTGATCCGCACCTGCCCACCATCCGGTGAATGTCACCCCAGATACACAGAGTACACCTGACGCAGCCGCTCGATCCGCACCTGCCCACCATCCGGTGAATGTCACACCAGACACAGCCGCTCGATCCGCACCTGCCCACCATCCGGCGATGGTCACACCAGACGCACAGAGTACACCTGACGCAGCCGCTCGATCCGCACCTGCCCACCATCCGGCGATGGTCACACCAGATACACAGAGTACACCAGACGCAGCCGCTCGAAATGCACCTGCCCACCATGCGGCGATGGTCACACCAGACGCATAGAGCACACCTGACGCAGCCGCTCGATCCGCACCTGCCCACCATCCGGCGATGGTCACACCAGACGCACAGAGTACACCTGACGCAGCCGCTCGATCCGCACCTGCCCACAATCCGGCGATGGTCACACCAGATACACAGAGTACACAAGACGCAGCCGCTCGATCCGCACCTGCCCACCATCCGGCGATGGTCACACCAGATACACAGAGTACACCAGACGCGGCCGCTCGATCCGCACCCGCCCACAATCCGGCGATGGTCACACCAGACGCACAGAGTACACCTGACGCAGCCGCTCGATCCGCACCTGCCCACAATCCGGCGATGGTCAAACCAGACGCACAGAGTACACCTGACGCAGCCGCTCGATCCGCACCTGCCCACCATCCGGTGATGGTCACACCAGGCGCACAGAGCACACCTGACACAAACGTACTGGCGGGCGCTGCGCCAGCCGACATCACACTTTCAGCAACACCGGGCGTCCAACAAAACATAGTAACAACTTGAAGGAGAAGCAGGTTGTAGTTCACAGCAGCTGACAACACAAGAGTATTCACCGTGGAGCGCCTTTTCCGCACGGAAGCAATGTAAATATTCAAGGACGAGGCTCGCCACCCCAAAACTGCATGAAACAAGCGGCAAATTACACTCAGTCTGAGTAATTTTCCCGGCACCGTAAGCAGCATACCGCACCTCCCATGTTGTACATACCATCACATACATACATACCATCACCTCCCATGTTGTACATCCCATACATACCATCACAGCACTGGGTGTTGATGCCGGGCGTGGCCCATCACGGAGTGTGAGCGTCGCTCTGACCCAGCCCTTACCTCGAACAGCTGTCCGGGCCGCAGCGGCTGGGCCGACAGCACCAGGCCCTGGTTGTAGCTGGCCACGCGGCGCGCCACACAGCCTTTGTTGCTGAGTGCGATGTTGCGGCCGTGGCAATCGTGGAAGCGGTCCGCGGCGGCGGCGACCGGCCCGCCCGGCCGCGGAGCTGCTGCACGGGCCGGTGGTGTAAAGCCACGTCAGAACGACCCGGCTCCAAACGAGTAGCACTCAAACAAAAAGGAACACTGTAAGACATCAACAAGAAGGATTTCGAGCAATCAACATGACATGGCGCGAATTAGCCAATACCTGGTCATTCAACCCCAGGGTTCATCAGTGGGTTGTTCTGGCTACTCACTTGGTGTTTGCCTATGACTCCGACTGGGCCCAAACGCCAGTGAGCTGACCGTGCTGTGTGTCACGTGTGCAGCAGCACGAACACCACCCAGGTGCATACATCACGCCCGTGAAGCGGCGCGCGCCGATGGCCCGCGCCCCGGCCGTACCGGTGGGCCGCGGTCCGCAGAGTTCCAGCGAGTCCTGCATCACCGAGCCGGGAGAGTCGGCGGCGACAGCGGCCGGCAGAGCGCCGCCGCCCGGCGACGCCAGCGCCCGCGACGTGCTGACCGCCGTCACCGACTGTGTCCGGCCGTACAGCTCGGCCACGCCCCACACCCGCTGTGGCAGGGAGAGAGCGTCTTACAACCCGAGAGCACGCTCTCGCCGGCTAGGGAGCGGTCCCAACGCTCGGGCGTCTCTCTCGAGGGCATTCAGGCAAACGATCGATCAAACAGTCGGATATCTCATGACGGGATGACACTCCGTCCATATCCAACGCCTTCGCTTCACAGTAATTGATGCTTGGACACAACTCAACACAGCACGATTGAACCATTCCCTGGAACATTCCACCTCGAATTCAGAAGGCCCACCACGAGCCGTATTTCCGGGAGCATGACCTAGCGTGACGTAGCCCAGCAGCACGTCAACACGTCAAAGTCGCTGAGGGAGATCACGTCCGGTTCTCAACTGTGTTGCTTCAAGCGTCCGGCATCCGACCCTATTCCGGAACTATAACGCCATAGCGTACCTAAGCCAACCGAGGAAAGGGTTTCCGGTCACGTGCCAAAAGCACGATCCGTACCTGGTGCCAGGTGCCAGTGTGAGGCCAGATGCCTCCATCTGGGGGGGGGGGGGGGGTCAACTGCCAATAGTCGCGCAGGGAGCAGTGGCTTGGAAACAGAATCCAGCCGTACTGGCCAGGCCGCGTCGGGGTGCGGGCTCCGGCCGCGGTACCTTGGGGAGGCCGGACGAGGCCACGCCCATGTCCTCGCCGTTGATGACCAGCTGGAGGCAGCTGTCCGAGGTGCAGCGGATGCCGACCCGGTCCCCGCGCCGCAGCCGGTCCAGGCTCGGGCAGTAGTTGAGCCGCACACAGCCGCCGTCCCTGCGCACCTCACTCCCTGCGACAAGCACCGGCCGCCTCACCAACAGGCTACCGCGGTCACAACACGCCACACTGCCGCCGCCCCTGCGCACCTCACTCCCTGCGACAAGCGCCAGCCGCCTCACCAACAGGCTACCGCGGTCGCGACACGCCAAACACACCGACGGCTTACAAAATATGCGCTGTCAACTGAAGCCCACGCTATACCGTGCCACCATCAAACTAGGCACACTTGGCAGCTTCAAAACCAGAAAACAACGCAGCAGCCACCGAGTCCAGTGATGTTATGTACTAACTATAACTACGTCAACTGAACGCTAGCAGTCCTATTTTAGGAAATGCCGTGTAAGATCACACGAAATATAATTAAATAGAACTGGATACCGTTAAGCCACATCACAAATACGAAATACCTGAATTAAAAACCCAAATCCACCCAGTTTCTTCTCAAAGTTAGGGATGGTGCTCAGACCCACTGAATAGGATGATACATCTTGCTGTGAATTACTTCATCTGCACCTGCATCCAGCTCAGTCAGTGACTTCAATCATAACTGCCACGCTTAATGGTCACCAACCACATTAAATTTTGACAGTATGTCCTAAGTGCATGGCCTACGGCCAGGACCTTCTCGCAGCCGGACAGATGGCGTACTATACGACCACTGGCCGTGCCGTGTACCGTGTGCATGGCTCCCGCACCGCATTAACTCGTTATTTAACAGAGAGGGCGGCGATCCACGTTGTTTGTTGCCGGTGACGGCTCATCTCTCCCTGTCATACATAGCGTCACCAGTGTGTCCCGTCCTGTATAATGTACCTGGTACCCTGTTCCTGCAGTGTAGCTACGACGGTTCCTGTTCCTATTGCTAGTGTTATCCGTGGGACCAGCCGTACCCTAGCCCAATCATTACCTTCTATCCACTAGAGGCGGTCAGGTATCGCGTCCAAATCCCAATCATTACCTTCTATCCACCAGGTGTGGTCAGGTATCAGATCCAGGCTGGCAGGCATGCAGCCCACGTTGTTGGGCGAGAAACATGTAAGACCCAGTCTCAGGGAACCAGAGAACTGATCACACAGCTGCTCAATCCGCAGCTGAAAACATTCACAGGCGTCAGACTCGGACAAACGTCACCGGACGGCATTGTTGCAAAGATGACATGGCCATAGTTGCACTGCAACTTGTACGCAACATCTAAAGCACACTTAAACAAACTTGCCTCCGGCGAGTCGCATCAATGATCTCAAGCGAGGTCGGCGGAAGGCGCGAGAAACTTGTAGCTGCTCCAGACGAAAGAAGAGTTGTCCTTTTAGCCTCACATCTCGTCGATGGAAAAATCGTGAAAATACAAAATAAAGGCATCCTGATATTTCAGCCCAAGCTTTTGTCGAAACAGCACAATGCATGGACGAGCAGTGATTTAGCCTGCCTACGGCTCCACCTCATCACCAACATTCCGTAATTTATACGGGTAGATTGGCAGCCATCATTTAAAATGGTGGTCCTACGATTCAGTATAGCGAACTAATGGCACAAATGTCACAAATGTCACAAATGTCACAAATACACAACCACGCGAACACATTATTAAGTGACCACACGTGGGGGATCAAGGCACTCATGGCACTCGCAAAATAAAGTATGATAGGCTAAGCACGTTTAAGTCTGGTCGCAGACTTGTCATCCGAGATGCAGTGATTCTCCTATTGAAATGGTCTTATGCTCTATATATGCTTTTGAGTTCTAAAGGATCCGTGGCTGCCTCGATTCCGGCTCATTAAAAAAGGTTGTCAAAACAACTTTCTATATCGGTTTGTAAGCTGCGCGCGGGTGTCCAATAAACCTCAAAATAATAGTGCATGGACTAACTGACGTGGGTTCTGTGAATCCCATGGCCTTCAAGGTGCACAGCATATACATATTTTTCGCACCGTTAAAATATTGAGCTCTACTTCTTGCTTCTCCCCTACGGCATCCAAAAACCTATAAGGATACACTTATCACATTATCAAAATTACACCCATAACGCTCGAGCAATTCGGCATGAAATTTGTATCAAATATGCTTGATAACCCTAGGGCTCCAAACAAATTCACACGGAACAGGAAAGGGAGAACATGTCAGACAAGTCGCCTAAAATGCTTTTGCCCGTCCGATAGCTCAGTTAGTTAGGGCGCCTACCTTCCGATTCATCCACCCGTAGTGGGGTGGGTTCAAGTCCCTTAATGCACCGGCTATTTAGCCTTAACTGGGATAGCCTGCGTCCGCTGCGTTGGGCCACATTGTCCCGGAGAACACTGGGGCACGTTTAACCTTCGTCCAAATTCTTCCGGCGACCCGCACTCTTAAGACTGGATGGTCGTGTCGGAACCCTAGCAATAAGGGCGGCGTAAGTGCCGATCATAGTAATCCATCCGAACAACGATTCCGACCAAATTTTCAAAGCAATTAATTGTACAAGGTGTACACAACTTATACGAGGAACTTTATCTGCCGGCCACCAAAGCCCCCGTTAAGTGAGGAAATTTACTGTCAGTCACGCCTCCAACACTTACCTCGAGCAGTTCGTCCGGAAGCAGGGGCGATGACGTGATTACCACGGAGTTCGAAAAGCCCCGCAGACGGACGGCTGTCGTATTATTATTGCGCAGGTTCACATTCTTCCCACAGCACAGGCTAAATCTGTGAACGACAATAGAGCTAAGAGAAATCGAAGCAGTTATTTGGCAGACGTGCACCATACAGGAGTCATGAAACTTTGCTGAAGCAGCGATTCGTATATTTCAGTAGCCGTCCATTAAGCTTTTCCCCCACCACGTTATATAGCGTTACATTGTATTCTTCCGGCCACCTATGAAAGTCGCAGGTCCTGGCATGCGTATCATGCGTCCATTCCGTTCTTCCCGCCCAGACAGTGACCCTTGGCCCTTGATTTTCCCGCTGGCCCTAGATGTGCAAATCAGTGGAGGCTGCAAGTTCTGAATTTCACTTGCCGTGATCGCTCACTCAAAACCAACATCAAACGCGTGACTTATAAATGTTCTGAGGACCCAAAGATAAAACGCCCCCCAATTTGTCCTGGCGGCCCTGACAGTGACCCCCCCCCCCCCCCCCCCCGGCAGCCTCGGCCACCGGCGCCCGAGCGTCAATGTCGCGTCACCTGTGTGCTATCTCGTTGCCGAGCAGTATGCTGAGCGCCTGAGAGCTCTCCAGGATCTGCGAGTCGGAGCAGAGCAGGCTGTTGTCCTGCAGCCGGGTCACGTGGTTGAGCACGCTGACCTGGGCGCACTGGCCGTACAGGTCGATCACGGCGTACACGTCTGCAGCACAACGCGCCAGGTCAGCGCGTCGAAAATACGACTCGTCGTTAGTTCGACCCAGCAATCTTGAATTCTTGGCCACCCAACAGTCAGCCACAGACTCCCCGCATCCCTCTCGCACTCGGCCACGAACGAAGCCAGCAGTTTAACACTGAATACTACTGAAACAGGTGCACTCCACCGGAACTGGCCTTGATAAGGTGCGATAGTGTCGGCGCCACTTACTGGGCGGCACGGCGTCACACGCCACGCCCTGATCCTCGCCGTTGATGTAGACGTGCAGCGTCGAGTCGGCCAGGCGGGCCAGGCCGATGCGCGAGCCCACGCCTAGCGCGTCCAAGTCACACTTGTACCGGCTCTTGATGGTGACACCGTCCTGCCGGCCAGAGCGTTGACGCGACGGTACAGCAGCGGCGGCGGCGACGGCAGCCAGCAGGACGACAGCAGGCCGCCACACCGCGGACGGTGTGGCGGCGCGGCGGCAACTCTCTTACATAAACTGTCTCTGTCGTTCATATACTCTCTCTGTCTCCCATGTACTCTTTTACGTGGGAATCGATTCAAGGATGCCACGCGCTAGAATGGGAGCTTACATTTTTACGTAACAATTCGATGCAATTTTGCCTGAGCAAAATCCATTTCAAATCGTGTTTACGGCAGGAAAGACAGCAGACATCCAGACATCTGAAAGGGACTCCTTAGCATCAAGATATGCAAGTCTGGAATAATTACGAATGGAATCTGGAATAATTTGGCAAACGTGGCGTAAAATCACACAGCTATTACTATCATATTCCTCGATACACCCCAGCTATACTGATCTCCCTCAAACATCACTGGGCACGAACAAAACCTCTTAGAAGATATGCGCGATGGGTACCTCGATAAAAAAACAACTGTGTAATAGATGATAACGCTTTTCAAACATTACTGTGGCGTAATGTAAAGGTACATTATAGCATTATGTCTTGGGTCTCAGACGCAAATCAGCATTCTTTCAGAAACGCAGCGGGAGCAAAAACAGAATACAAAGTGGTCACATGAATGGAACTAAGAGTGTGTCTATGCCCGAAAAGCTCTGCTGGCACCGGGAAAATCCGTCCAGGCTCCGAGAGCTGTGTCACCCCTCAGGCCTGCGGCTTACGTGTGGCTGGCATTGGCAAGGTCAGAAAAATAATACTACGCAAAAATGCATGCACGCCCAATGACAACTGTTGCCATGATCGCATGCATTACGGCCAACATGGGAGCCACCGGGTACAAAAGCGCTCAAACATGGTCTGTTTAAACGTGGCAAACCAATCTAAGACGTCTACACTCTACGAGATGGTTACATCCTGAATATATGGCCGTCATTTCCTCCCCAGGCGGGCTGACTGGTGCCTGCTCAGCCCACATCGGCTGGGGCCAAGGTCCACGGGCCGGGGATTATCCCTCAGCTCCAGTGCGGTGCAGAGCCGACACTGGTGAGCCCCGGTCGCTTACCTTCATGACGGCCGAGCCGGAGATCATCCAGGTGTCGTACTCGATGTCGGTCATGGTGCGGGGGAAGCTGAGACTCTCGGGCGGCACCAGGGTCACCCCGGCCTCGATACTGCCGCTCCACCGGTCCACCATGCGCTCGATGATCACCTGCAAACGCCGCCCAAAACCCTCCCATGTAACTGCTACATATTCTACAGCACAAACAGCCAGTGGCATGAATCCCTTCAGCTTTAACAGGGTCACTTTTTTACGCTGAAAACGTAGCAGGCAAATAATCGCAGCCTGCAGTTATTTACCACCGCTCGCTTGGAGCCGTATGCACGTAAATACCAATCGGGAAAAGCACGAGACCTTCCGTAACGCCTCGCCCGGGTACCCGACCGATCCGATGTTCTTACCATCCACTGCTCATAAAGCATCTGAACTGTACCACAATTTTAACACGTAACACCCGCATTCGGAGAAAAGGCATGACATGAATAGTTTGGTGATGATGATTTGGGCTTTGGGGCGCACCGACTACGCTGGTCATATGGCGCCAACACGCTAATGAATAGCTCGCACGCGCCCCAAAACATCGGCAGCGGCCCCTCATCCGCAGCTGCACGTTCGTCCCCTCGTCGCACACGGGTGAGGGGCGTGGCCTGACCTCGAACACCTCGCCGTCTCGCAGCGGCCGGTTGGACATGATGATGGAGCCGTTGAACTCGCCGTGCGCGTTCGGTCGGCTGGCGGTCATGCCGTTCATGGACACCCGGGCGTTCCGGCCGTGCAGCTGGTGGAACTTGAGGTCGCTGTCGGACGGAACAGACGCTCAGTGGCACGGACGTCCGAGGGCTAGTCTGCCAGCCTTACGTGACGAACATGTAACTCTAATGCATCACACGTCAACCTTGCTAGAGCCGGCCACTCTTGTTAGCCGACTGAAATACCATAATCAAAATACTCCCACTTATCTTATCTCACCTCAAACATGACTGCGGAAGTGTGCTCAGATCGATATCATACGCATATTTCCTACTTTCAAGCTTCTTTTAGCTTCATTAAAAAAAAAAACACCGCTGGCATGACATGGTGCGTTGATGCATGTGTCATGTCCTATATCAGTGTCAGCGTCGAATACACAGAGCCCCACGTCAGCGTCGAATACACAGATCCCAAGTCAGCGCCGAATAAACAGAGCCCTGTGCCAGCACCGAATATACAAAGCCCTGCGTCGGCGACGGATACACAGAACCCCACGTCGGCGCCCAATGCACAGAACCCTGTGCCAGCGCCGAATACAAAAAGCCCTGCGTCGGCGGCGGATACACAGAGTCCCACGTCGGCGCCGAATACACAGAACTCCACATCAGCGCCGAATACACAGAGCCCCACGTCGGCGCCGAATACACAGAGCCCCACGTCGGAGCCGAATACACAGAGCCCCACGTCGGCGCCGAATACACAGAACTCCACATCAGCGCCGAATACACAGAACCCCACGTCGGCGCCGAATACACAGAGCCCCACGTCGGCGCCGAGCACACAGAACTCCACATCAGCGCCGAATACACAGAACCCCACGTCGGCGCCGAATGCACAGAGCCCCACGTCGGCGCCGAATACACAGAACTCCACATCAGCGCCGAATACACAGAACCCCACGTCAGCGCCGAATACACAGAGTCCCACGTCGGCGCCGAATACACAGAACTCCACATCAGCGCCGAATACACAGAACCCCACGTCAGCGCCGAATACACAGAGCCCCACGTCAGCGCCGAATACACAGAACTCCACATCAGCGCCGAATACACAGAGCCCACGTCAGCGCCGAATACACAGAACTCCACATCAGCGCCAAATACACAGAGCCCCACGTCAGCGCCGAATACACAGAACCCCACGTCGGCGCCGGATACACAGAGCCCCACGTCGGCGCCGAATACACAGAACTCCACATCAGCGCCGAATACACAGAACTCCACATCAGCGCCGAATACACAGAGCCCCACGTCAGCGCCGAATACACAGAACCCCACGTCGGCGCCGAATACACAGAACCCCACGTCGGCGCCGAATACACAGAGCCCCACGTCAGCGTCGAATACACAGAACTCCACATCAGCGCCGAATACACAGAGTCCCACGTCGGCGCCGAATACACAGAACTCCACATCAGCGCCGAATACACAGAACCCCACGTCAGCGCCGAATACACAGAACTCCACTCAGCGCCAAATACACAGAACTCCACATCAGCGCCGAATACACAGAACCCACGTCAGCGCCGAATACACAGAGTCCCACGTCGGCGCCAAATACACAGAGCCCCACGTCAGCGCCTAATACACAGAACCCCTCGTCAGCGCTGAATACACAGAACCCCACGTCAGCGCCAAATAAAAGAGCCCTGTGTGAGCGCCGAATACACAGAGCCCTGCAACGGAGACGAATACACAGAGGCTCTGTGCCGGCAACGAATACACAGAGCCCTGTGTGAGCGCCGAATACGCAGAGCCCTGTGTGAGCGCTGAATACACAGAGCCCTGCAACGGAGACGAATACACAGAGGCTCTGTGCCGGCAACGAATACACAGAGCCCTGTGTGAGCGCCGTGACCGAGCCCGAGGGTCGCTCTGGCCGACAGACCTGTAGAGTGTGGACGACGAGCCGGTGGAAGCGACGGGCGAGGGGGCCGGCGAGCGGCCGCGGTCCACCATAGTGACCTGCGCCGCCTGGCCGTACAGGTCAACCACACCGTAGACGGCGCGAGGCACGCCCAGCGCCGCCACGCCCTGGTCCACGCCGTTCACGAAGAAGTGCAACCGACCGTCTTCGTGCACCGTCACGCCCACTCGGTCACCCACCTGGGGCACGAGGAACTGGTCACCCACTTGGCCCACGGCGAGGGCCACCCACCTACGGCACGAGTGGGGCGGCCGAAAGGTCACTCACGCGGAGAAAGGCCGAGGGAGAGGGACAGGTCACCCACCTGCGCCATCAGAGAGCGGTGGCCCACCTGAGGCAGGCCGAATGGGGGAGGTGTCGCCGACCTGGGCAGTCACCCGAGCCACGGCAAGGGCGACATCCGGCCGGGTGATTGAGACCCGGCTGGCGAGATCTCTGAGATAACAGCAATTGGAGCTGGCAAAGAGCCGCGTGACAGCAATCACATGGCTTCCGCGGACTGACGAGAGATCTGAGATAACAGCAATTGCAGCTGGCAAAGAACCGCGCGACAGCAGTCGCGGGGTTTCCGCGGGCTGACCAGAGATCTGAGGTAACAACAATCAGAGCTGGCAAAGAGCCGCGCGACAGCAATCACGGGGTTATCTATGTTATGTATGTATGTTCTATGTTAACAGTACATAAAAGCACATTTCGTGAGGATGTATCAAATTAACCACGTCAGCCATGACAGGCACACTGTTACACGAACGGAATAACAAAGACGCAACTGCATCAAGCTTTCCACGAGGAAGGCACTCGCGATGAGGTTCTCCACATGCTACCCTGAGGTAAGAAAAAAGCTCAAATACTTATTTTCCACTCCCTTGCCCATCTTACATCATGCTACAAAGATAACGATTTCACTCCGGCAAAATAACATTTAGCCCCGTGGTCGGACCTAATAAAAGCAGACGACTGCAGGACGCCAATGAGACAAGCGCAACAGACCGACCTTGAGCCGGTCCAGGTTGTGTCCGTAGTCGTCCATGACGGCAGTGCCGTTGTGCATCACGCCGTTGCCGGTCATCATCCAGGTGCCGGACCTGGCGGTGCAACATCGGAACACGTCAGACCCGACGACGCGGCATGAGCCTCGTCGCACGCGCGGCCGGCCCAAGATTCAGCAGTCTCATGTATCCACTCGACGGGCAGGCGGACGGACACATGAGGGCAGGTGGATGGACGGCTGACCAACCATAGGAAACAAAATGGTTTCTATATACTTAAACGGTTTATAGCTTACGCACGAAAGGAACACAATGTTTGAAATGGTGGACGGGTACCCAAGCTACTGAGTGGACCCGAACTGCCCAGTGGACCTGGACTCTCGAGCTACCGAGTGGACCCGAACTCCCCGGTGGGCCCGGACCCCGAGCTTCCCAGTGGACTCGACCTCCCGAGCTCCCAGGTGGACCCAAGCTTGGTGTACCGTGACCGGTACATACTTAACATTCAACATGAAGGACTGATACCCGAGTCAGTGGCGGCGGATTAAGCTGTCGTATGGCAGAGGGTGGGGGAGGAGGAACTTTTCTGAGTTCATTCAAATGCCGTTAAAACCCTCTGGCGGCGGTGTCCCCCACCCCCGGTAGAATTAATGACGCACCAGGAAGATGTTCCGAAGGATGGATGGATGGAAGGATGTTTCCGAACTTTTTCACCCGTTCCAATCCTTCCTTTCGAACACTGAGGACACTCCTTACCTTTTTTCGGGCAGGGGGCCCAGTGGGCACACCGCTAGGGATCACATTGTGTCTCCCAGTCAGGGGCTGATGAACAACGCTTCCGTCCGAGCTGTGATACAAGACATGGGAAAGGCCTTCTTTGAACCTCGCATGCTCACTTTCTCAGGGAAAAACTGGTCCCTAACCGACTTAAGAAGAGCCTCTTTTGAGTTTATGATGAACAGTTTCCATATCTGAGAGGGCCATTTGTCATTGGTTGGAGATTTAGGGCGTGCCGGCCACTGAGGTCATTTTGTGCCTATAACAGCTAAGTGACTACCTAAGCGTGTAAATGGCTACAAAATCCTACCTTAGTCAGACATGAAAACTACTGCGTCGTGACAAGAACGCGACAGTCGTCACCAGTGATGTCTGAATGGGTACGAACTGGAGCATCTCGTCCGAAATAGCGTAACCACTCTTGGTTGGTTATCTGGGCTTTAGAGCGCACCGACTGCTTGGTTATACAGCACCCGCAATAAAATGTGAATCCGAACTTTTCAGCAGCCTAAAAGCTTCGTAAACGCGGTAGGAACTATTTAAGCATGGGTACATGAAGTGCACAGCTTGACATACGATAAGGACTTGAGGTTCTGTCCGGTATATGGTGGGTTGTCACATAGTAAGTAGGAGAGCGTCACGGACGGCGCAACCGGGCCAAAGTACCTCAGACGCGTGACGCGTAGCATGGCACAGCATACGAGCACATGTTCCATTGTGAGCGTGGCGTTGCAGTGGCGACATCGTGGTAGTTCGTCGCGACATAATAGGCATCGATGTGTGGCATAAGCACGGCCAATCGGCAGGCGATACAAGATAACTTCTGCCCGTCTAGAGTTTCGATAGGATGGCTGCCATTTCTGCACAACCGGCTTAATGCTTTCTCAGTTTACTGGTGCCCATCGCACCCCATGTGCTCTGCCATTCTCCACGCAAAAAGTAGGATGGACGAGTATAGGTCCGTAGCGGGGATTGGGACCGCCCTTCGACAGGGACGAAGAGTAGCACGCTTTGCGGGCTACTCTTCCGAAGGGCGCGGCCAACTGAAGTTATGGGGGCCAAAACAATAATTGCTCCCCACCGCAAAAGCTCGAGGGCACTTTGCCCCACTGCCCCTCCCCGCCATACTTCGCCACTGGCTTAAGCTGGCTGTACGGTGGCAGCTGCTCACCTGACATTGGTCATGGTGGACGGGTACTCGAGCTCGGTGGGACCGTGCGTGGTAACGCCGATCTCGATGGAGCCGGCCCACTTGGTCACCACCTTGTCGAGCCGCACCTCGAACAGCTCCTGCGGTCGCAGGTGCCGGCTCGTCATCACCACGCCGTTGTTGAAGTCGTCCATGGCGCTGCCGGACAGACAAAGCGGTCAGGGCCGCCAGCGGACCACGAGGCCGCGACGGGGAGTGAAGGCAGAGGTCAGGCACACAGCACCGACGCGGGCACAGCACAGCAGTCCAGCACAGCACAGCAGTTCGACCACCTCCCAGCACGCCACGCCAGTCATCCGGCCACCACGCAGCACGCCACGTCAGTCATCCAGCCACCACGCAGCACGCCACGCCAGTCATCCGGCCACCTCGCAGCACGCCACCCCAGTCATCCGGCCACCACGCAGCACGCCACGCCAGTCATCCGGCCACCTCGCAGCACGCCACCCCAGTCATCCGGCCACCTCGCAGCACGCCACCCCAGTCATCCGGCCACCACGCAGCACACCACGCCAGTCATCCGGCCACCACGCAGCACGCCACCCCAGTCATCCGGCCACCTCGCAGCACGCCACACCAGTCATCCGGCCACCTCGCAGCACGCCACGCCAGTCATCCGGCCACCACGCAGCACGCCACGCCAGTCATCCGGCCACCACGCAGCACGCCACGCCAGTCATCCGGCCACCTCGCAGCACGCCACACCAGTCATCCGGCCACCACGCAGCACGCCACGCCAGTCATCCGGCCACCACGCAGCACGCCACGCCAGTCATCCGGCCACCACGCAGCACGCCACGCCAGTCATCCGGCCACCTCGCAGCACGCCACACCAGTCATCCGGCCACCTCGCAGCACGCCACGCCAGTCATCCGGCCACCACGCAGCACGCCACGCCAGTCATCCGGCCACCACGCAGCACGCCACGCCAGTCATCCGGCCACCACGCAGCACGTGACGCCACGCCAAGCCACCAACGCTTGGCAACAAATCACTTGTGCTGGATACCTGTTAGAACGAGGGAAGACGGGAGGACGCTTGGTGACAACCGTTCTTACGCTGCTATTAGAATAAGGACGGGCTGCGGGTACGGTCATGGCAGCTCACTGATTACTGACATCTGATTGGTCCGCCCAGGGGTGAGCAAGGAAGGCGTCTGATGAGACAATGAAATAGCTCTCGAGATCCTTACAGACAATGACGTTACGAAAAGGGATCCTTACAGATAGGCCACCTCTGAAAGGACAGGTCAGAATGGCAATGACACACAGAGAGAATGGGATGTGTTCAGCTGGGGGCCGTCAGCGCAGCACACTTGGCCACGCCTAGCGCGCCAGCACGACGGCCGACCGGGCGGCGTACTTCGGCCGGTGTGCGGTGCGTCCGTCGGCCAGCACGGCCGAGTGGCTGCCGCAGCTCGGATGGAAGGTGAGCAGGTCGGACGGCGCTGGCAGCGGCAGGCCGCGCGAGTTGTCCGGCACCAGGTGCGTCGGCGCGCCCGACAACACCCGCTCCTCACCCGCTACGATGCTCACCTGTGGGGGAGAGTCGGGTCACCCTCGGACGGCGGCACGGGGTGTCGGCAACGCACACGTCGGCATACTGAGCCCTCACCACCGTCTGGTCATTGGACGACACATGTGAGTCATTTGACCCCTGGCAATGTAAGTTCTGAAATTACAGCGGAACAGCCAAAGCGCGATGGCACGCAGCTCAAGCTCATGGCCTCTCCTCCGCAAAGTCAGCGTTCTACCTCTGAACAACGGCGTCCAGCAGAGCCAGGGCACGGTCATCGATTTAGCTACTTATTCGTTAGCAGACAAAGCAGACACGCAATGGCGTCAATAGGTGGTGCACATCGCACATGAGCAAAACATATTGACACCACATATCGCATATGCACATCGCGCATGGTGAGTGGGGTGGTCTGCAAATGGGGTGGTCCTTCCTGCCTGCATCACAACCTGACCGGTTTACACTTCACATGTTACGCCAATGTATGCATACATTATCGTCCCCCGTCACTACCGAGCATACCTTAACAGTCATACCGTAGAGGTCAACCACGCCCCAGACCGTGCTGGGTGCATTGGTGGCGGCCACACCCTGGTCCAGACCGTTGATGAAGAAATGCAGGGTGTTGTTACTCCGCCGCATCATGGCAATCCGGTCACCCTCCTGAAATGGCCAGCAGGGCGACTTGAGGGACAAGAATGCAATGCTATATGCATGCGACATCGCTTAACCCCCTCCCCACAGGCTGATATTTGCCTTAATCCGAGGGGGGAGGGACAGATCCCCCACAGCTTAAGATCTCGAAATAGCTTTTCCAATTAACACTAGACGAAATTTGTCTGCACTCACCATTCGCTATTCGATTTGTCTCAATGATCTCTCCATTTCTATCCACCACAAAAGCCAACAAAGAAAATGAGAGAGGAAGGCGAAAAAACTCGGAAATTCAGTTAAGTTTATCTTCCCCAACGGTTTATTTTCGGTAAAGTTTTGGGAACAGACGAATATCAGGGATCGGGATCGGACCGACACTGGTGACTGGGCGTTAGCGCCGTTTTACTTCGTCAGCCCCCTTCTTTACTCCCTCATCTTTGAGCGTCTCAGAACGTCTTACCAAATGTTTGTGATGCGTATTGAGCGTGAGGTATTACACGACTGCATAACTGGTTTCACATCTTCACTTGCACCCCTATTTACCACGGAGGTCCACCAGACACACTCATTTTCATTCGGTCTCGAGCAACCCGGACGACCTCCGAAAGCACAGGGCCAGGATACGCGTTAATGGATCTGTTTTATTTCAATGTCTGATTCAATATCCCACTAAAGAAAATATTTCAACGCACGCTGGAAACGTGTGCAAGCCGAAAAATCTGCAACCCACGTACCACTGTGGCAATGTGTTCCCCATTTCACAGCCCTGGATATGTCTCCGCCCGAAAATGCTATATATATATATATATATATATATATATATATATATATATATGTATATATATATATATATGTATATATACATACATATATATATACATATATATATACACATATATATATATATATATATATATATATATATATATATAACCAGTACAGTGACGCATATGACTCTGTGAACAAATTTGCCACCTTTTACTGAATGAGGCAACATAAATGTGTCACACAACCTTTGTATGAGCCCCAGTCCGAGAACGCACACAACCCATACACTTCATACCATCCTCGCTCAGCAGTACCCTACCGAAAACAAAGACTGGAAACCGCCTCGGCGGACCGATTTCTTTGAAATTTAGGCAAGATGTATCCACAAATTCCATGAAAAGCCACACATTTTCATGGCACTAAAACGATTTAGCAATCGCAAGCAAAAAAGTGAGGGAGGGCGCGCGCCAGGTCCGTACATGTGAGCGCCTCTCCTACTCCCATGAAAATGGTTCAGGGGCACGGGCGCCTCTCCTAGTTCCACACATATGGGTCAGGGCCACGGGCGCCTCTCCTAGTTCCACACATATAGGTCCGGGCGGTGGGCGCCGGCCCTTCACCCGCCCAGCTGACAAGCCGCCCGCGGAGCCGGCCGCCACCCAGCCGCCAAAACTCATCTAGCTCAGCCGCCACCCAGCCGCCAAAACTCATCTAGCTCAGCCGCCACCCAGCCGCCAAAACTCGCACAGCTCAGCCGCCACCCAGCCGCCAAAACTCATCTAGCTCAGCCGCCACCCAGCCGCCAAAACTCGCACAGCTCAGCCGCCAGCAATAGACGCCACGACGCCATTGCCAAATCAGCCGCCGCAAATCCGTCATTTAACTGAACTGTCCTCTGCCAATAATACAGTTTTGGATGGGCCCATCCACCTCACCGCTGTAAGTGTCAAAGCTATATATGAACAGAGAAACTTCGTTGAATTAACGTGCCTCAGTGTTTAACTACGGTGGTCGGCGAAGAATAAGGTGTCATGTCTTTTAAGAAGTGTCCGTACTGGCGGCAACGGCCCCACGCGTGCTGGCTGGCGTACGGAAAATGAACACTGAAGATTGAATAAAGCCTGGGATGCACGGCATTGCCAAGTTCGGAGCCCACGGAGAGAAAATAGGTGTATTTGAAACGAAGTGTTGGCGAACATTTTCTAACAAAGGACGCGAGATGAGCCGGACGGGTGCGTTCGTTCGAGTGAGCCGGGCGGGTGCGCTCGAGTGAGCCGGACGGGTGTGTTCGGGTGAGCCAGACGGGTGTGTTCGAGTGAGCCGGACGGGTGTGTACGGGTGAGCCGGACGGGTGCGCTCGAGTGAGCCGGACGGGTGTGTTCGGGTGAGCCAGACGGGTGTGTTCGGGTGAGCCAGACGGGTGTGTTCGGGTGAGCCAGACGGGTGTGTTCGGGTGAGCTGGACGGGTGCGTTCGTTCGGGCAGCGTAATTTTCAAATCGTTAGTATTACAGGAACCGTTTTTAAGGACAAAATACCACCAGGAGCAAACTAAGCGTTTGATCCGGAAGAGGATGCTGAGTTACAACGGTCGTGTTGGTCACCTTGCTGTCGTGTTCTAGTCGTGGGGTCTGTCATATGGGCTGGCATGGGTGATGACAGGTAAAAAGGTTGGTGAACGAATTTTGTTGTTTGGATTAGCTATCTGGCATCTAATACTTCCCAGTCCGAGTCCTTGTGTACTTTGTCAACTTACGGTCGATGTGGCTGCTCGATAGCTGCGCTGTATGCTGTCATTAGTAGCTGGCCGTTATGCCAGTCACAGGTCTCCGGTGTCAGTCATAAGCCTTGCTGCTTGGTTATCAAATTTTTAAAGTCAGGGAGTGTCTAAAATCATCAGGTGTCCACCGTAAACCAGGTCGCAGCAGACAAGGAGCCGTCGGATCCAATCTCAATCCCATACATTTCAGTCAGGGCTTGTCTTGGTAGGAACCTCGCGACGGGGTGCGGCAGGTCCAGGGCTCCATTTTGTTTTGTCAAAACCGCACTGATGTTTCCGTGGAACAGTGATTCAGTTCAGAGCGTCAGATCTAGCTGGTCCAAACATTCCGCCATAACTCAAACACAAAGACAGACGCGCATAACCCAAGCACAAGGATAGGATGGACGATAGCAGCCGACAGCACACAGCAGATTTAACAGCTGGCACCTAATCACGGCCAACAGTGCACACACCAACCAGCCGCAGCCGACAACACACAGCAGATTTAACAGCCGGCACCTAATCACGTCCAACAGTACACACACCAACCAGCCACAGCCGACAGCACACAGCAGCTCTAACAGCTGGTACCTAATCACGGCCAACAGCGCACACACCAACCAATCACGGCCAACAGCGCACACACCAACCAGCCACAGCAAACAGCACTGAAGGGCAGAACATCGTGCCTGTCATAACGGTCAGCCACCAGTCGCAGCATGCAGAGCAGGTATCAAGCAGCCACATAAACCAGAACACGCAGGAGCAGCGCCATAGCTGTAATGACAGTCCCACCTCGAGAATAAACGCAAGCTGTCGTCCATGTAATTGTGGCCACCAACTGGACCAACGCATACACGGGCCCGGCCCGACCCTGCCGTTATGACGAAAATGGAAACGAAAGACCAGTAAAAAAAAAAACGGAAATTCAATTTAACTTCGCAAATGTAATGATCCAAGAGGTGTGGGAGGGACCGCGAGGGGCCTAGAAGGGCACGAGGTAAGCAGGGGAGGGAAGATCACCTCCGATGCCTACCTTCAGCTCGTCCAGGTTAAACGTGCCGTACTCGCGGCGGGTGCCCTTGCCGTTGGTGAGGATGCCGGAGCCGGACATCATGATGGTGCCGGTGCGCAGGTTGGTCATGGTGGCCGGGATCTTGAGCGTGTCCGGACAGTGGGTTGTGATGCCTGCCTCGATCGAGCCCGACCACTTGTCCACCAAACGGTCGATCCGGATCTGCGCACGGGGTGAGACGCCGGCTGATGGTATGACGTACGGGGTGGGACGCCGGCTGATGGTCTGACGCACGGGGTGGGACGCCGGCTGATGGTATGACGTACGGGGTGGGACGCCGGCTGATGGTCTGACGGACGGGGTGAGACGCCGGCGCTGATGGTCCGACGTCACTGACACAGCGTGGACGGACAAACGCACAGGGCAGCGCACAAACTAATGGCCTCGGGTTGTCAAGCCACCTCAGCATAACATCGCTCAATGTACTGGGACCATAGAGTGGGCCCAAGGGTCTTGTGTGGGTCTTGTGTGCGTCTTGTGCGGGTCTGCAGCCGACCGATCATGGAAGGCTTGCCGATATCATATCTGACGATGGAAGTTTCTGCCCTGACGTGCAAGACGCAAAGATGAACCGACAACTCATAACGGTGATCAATATCCGTATGCATGCATAAGTCGCAACGACTAAAAACGAGATCTACGGTGGTAGTCCAGACCGTTTACCACCGAAACACGTTTCAAAAGTACGAACGCTTTGTCGAGGTCACACGCGAACAGCGAGCCGCAGCTGCCGGACTCAGCGGCTACGGCCGAACTCGGCTGGCACCTCGAATAGCTCGTCGTCGCGGAGCGGTCGGTGCGTAAGCACCACGCCGTTGTTGAACTCGTCGAGCGGGCGGCGCCGCTCCGCCGTCCGGTCGTCGCGCGTCAGCAGCACCAGCGCCCCGTGCCGGCCGTGGAAGTGAAGCCGGTCGGCCACGTCCGGCGCATCGCACCGGTTGTCGCCTGCCGACGGAGGACCGGACTTGAGGCGCACTGAGAGCGCTGGCGAGAGCGGGGCCGGGGGACCGGATCTGAGGCGCACTGAGAGCGCTGGCGAGAGCGGGGCCGACGGGGGACCGGACCTGAGGCGCACTGAGAGCGCTGGCGAGAGCGGGGCCGACGGGGGACCAGACCTGAAGCGCACTGAGAGCCCTGGCGAGAGCGGGGCCGACGGGGGACCGGACTTGAGGCGCACTGAGAGCGCTGGCGAGAGCGGGGCCGACGGGGGACCAGACCTGAAGCGCACTGAGAGCGCTGGCGAGAGCGGGGCCGACGGAGGACCGGACTTGAGGCGCACTGAGAGCGCTGGCGAGAGCGGGGCCGACGGGGGACCGGACCTGAGGCGCACTGAGAGCGCTGGCGAGAGCGGGGCCGACGGGGGACCAGACCTGAAGCGCACTGAGAGCCCTGGCGAGAGCGCTGGCGAGAGCGCTGGCGAGAGCGGGGCCGGGGGACCGGATCTGAGGCGCACTGAGAGCGCTGGCGAGAGCGGGGTCGCCGGAGGACCGGACATGAGGCGCACTGAGAGCGCCGGCAAGTTCCCAACCTCAAAACCACCAGCTTAGGTTTCGACTTCCGACTTCGGCTTCATGCCATTGTGTTGGTTACGGATTGCTTTGGTTAGGGATTTGTTGCTTTGGTTCCGGATTCAGCTTGGAAGCAAGAAGCCTGGCTTCGCCCCCATGCCTGGCCTGAACCCCGAGAAAAGGTCCCAGAACATAGAAGATCCTACAGCCAAGTTATGAAAACGGCCGCGGATACCAAAGGGCTGCTCAGCTAACTTGAAAAATGTCCTGGTTCCCAAAAGACCTTTGCCAATATTCCGTAACAAATCCCAGGTGCTGGAAGGTACCGCAGAAAGAATTAAACCAAAAAAACTGGATTTCAAAATTTGCACACTTGCTCCTGGATCCTACAGCATCCAAGACTCAGACTCAGGGACTCAAGATTGCACATATTAGACTTGATCCAAGGCTCTATTTCCGGGATTTGAAATATGCGCATCTTCTGTACAACGCCGCGTTTGCCCACTCCCCCCCCCCCCCCCCCCCTAAACGAGTACTCCTTTGCAACCTGGTCACCACCCAGTGTATATTGAGATTACTCCGATTGTTCTGTCTGCAGTGATCTTTTTTGAAAGTTGTTATCTATGGGTCGCGGGCTGCTGCCACTCCGATTCCGTTTATGTTTGTTTGTTTTTGAGCGTGTGAGGCACGGTCTAGGAATCCTCTTAAGCCTCCAGTCGAGTCTCTGGCTCGAGCTACCTCGTGCCCGCATCGCAGTTTACCTCGTATCGAAACAGCCGATGGATTTTCTTAACACAATTCTCTGGAAAAAAATGTATTTCACTTGTAGCAACACAGACACTAGCAACAGTCGCGGGGTCTCGTTGACACCAATCCACTGGTGTTTTTTCCCAAGCTATATATTACTAGTTTGGAAACCACAGCGAAGTTGCATGGCCCGCCCCCCCCCCCCCCCCCCCTCTCTTTCACTCCGTGTTCTGAAACACGGAGTGAGTCAGTACGCGGACCAGGGCGACGGTTAAGACGGAAGTGGTCCAGACCAGGGACAAACTAGTTTACTGGTCGAAGCTGCGGGTAGGTGTAATCACTTTCGTCACTTATCAGCCCCCTCTCCCTCGCCAACCCACTTAGCACAACTATGCCCCAAATGCTATCTGCACCCGACCTTCAGTGTCATCTCTGCAGATTCACCGGGCCTTTCTGGCAAGTTTCCTCACAAACTACGCCCTTGCCCACGTTACCTCAAGTTGTGAAAGCTCTGAAAATTTGGGGGAAAAGCGGCCTGTGGGAAAACAGAGGCCTGAGGCCCAGCAGTGCATGTCCCCTTTCCCCTGCAAATGGCACACATGCAGGAGATTAGTACACACCGCCTGCTGAATTTCAATATCTTGGATTGGAGCCCCTTCTTTCTTTACTCCGGCGTCCATAACAATCCTTTGCAACTGAACCAACAAACGCGAAGACTTGACGGACACAATGGTGGCCCACCTGGGACACCAGTCTTCAACATGGAAAACTAGACAAATGAATATGCATGACAACGGCCAACGCGAAGTAATCATGAAAAACGAAATTAGGTCCAAACATTTAAACTGAATATCGATCTTTCATCTCTTTTTCATGACCCGTCTTTTGTTAATTTTTGCTCTTCTTTTGACGCGTTTTCGTGTTTTTATCCTTTCCAACAGGCTTTTCCAGAGTTTCGTTTTCTCAACACGCTTTATCGTACTTTTCAACACACTTTTTCTGTTCACAAGTCGGAAAGTTTTCAGTTAAGTGGGGATCCCCCTCTGTGTTGCCCGTGCGTAATATCACATAATTTCTGTCCCACATAGTTATAACCGTTTCCGTCCACAGGCACCACATAGGGCATCCTGTGTGTTGCTGTGCATGCTCGTTAGATGTAAGAACTCACCGAAGCCCAAGGCTGTTGTTGGTTGTACGTGCGGACTTAGTCGTGCGGACTGGATGTTGGTCAGGTTGGGGTACTGGTCAGCTGAATCGCAACACTAGCAATACATAGAATTTAATCTCTTCACTTACAACACATCTCTATAATCTATATATCTCAAATAACCTCTAGACTTACAATAGTTTTGCTTGACTGGTCAGAGCGATTGGCACGAGCGAAGCCGTCACTATATGTCACAATAGCTTTCATGCAAGATGTTAGAAATCTGCTATAAATGTGCCAGATTGAGGCTGGACTCACGCTCGCTGTGCTGGTTGGGATTGGTGACGGACGCCTGCGCGCACTTGCCATACAGATCGACCACAGCCCATACTTGGGACGGCAGACCGGTGCCGGCCACGCCCTGTGGCGAGCCGTTCACGTAGAATACCAGCTCGCCCTGCAAACAGTCGGCCACCACTGAGGCGTCGTCGCCGAAAACGGGCTATCAGGCGGGGCAGCGCAGTGGTCATGGCCACGGCATGCACTTTGTTTGTGGAGCACCATAGCATGGAACACTTCGGGAGACGCGGCCAATTTTGATGTCCGTAGTCTCATGCTTTCCACGGCAGCCTATTTTGGCAAGGGGCACGATATTGCCCACGAGATGACTGTACCCTCACTTAAACAGCTGGCCTGAGTCCCTCCGCAATTCACAACTCGTACCTATATCGATACATCCGTCCTGTCGCAGCATGCGGATATTCCTCAGCGTTCCCACTTGGCAACGCAACCCCCGAGACCTCGCTTCCGAACCACAGGCTTCCAAGCGGCAGGGCCTGCTCGTCGTGCGCTGCTGACTCACATCGTGCGAGCGCGACACGGCCACGGTGTCGCCCTCGGCCAGCTGGTCCAGGTCGGAGCCGTAGATGTCGATCACCGACCGCCCGTCCCGCGACACGGAGATGCCCGACATGATCTGGCGGCCGCGCACGAAGTCAGCACTGGTTATCAGTGGCACGGCCATGGGACTGGTGAGGCAGAATCAGCGAACACACGAAGGATGCGGCTGAACTTAAATTGTACATAACGAGGCATATTGCGTGAGTAAATGATGATAATCGCAAATAGGGACTCCCGAATACAGAGACTGAGACCAGGCAACGCTGTGTGTACGTCGTGCAAATCATGCATGCCTGCAGCTGACTTGACTGAGGCTTTAGCGACAAATATTGTGCCGTAACATACATTGAGTCAAATATATTCAGACAAATATTGCGTGGCCCATGCCTCCTTCCCCCTACGAAAACCTAAATGTGTTCTTGGGTACCAGTTTGTTAGTAAGGCAAGCACTTTGAGCAACGGCCGACTTTGAATACACGGATCAAATGGCCGGACACATCTTCCCGACAAGTGACTACGGAGCCACGAGCCCGAGTGGCCAGGCATGTCTGTCGTCATGAAAGGCGGGCGCCTTTCTACTGTTTACAACTTTGGGACTGATCTCAGGACGCCAAGGGACCACTTCACCAGACGTCCGTTCCGATGGCTCAGTTGGTTAGAGCGCCTGCCCTTCCATCCGCCAACCGGTGGCAGGGTGGGTTCGAGTCGCTTTAGGCGCCTGCTAAACTTGACAGGTATAGCCTTGACAGGTATGGCCTGGAGCCGGTGGCAGCGGCCACGCTAGAGGTCAGTTGACGTCAGGGGGCAGGATGCGTTGCGTTGTCGAGCGTTGCAGCGAACTTCCAACAAACAAAAAATAAGCGGCACATCCGCCACCAAATTAGGCCGTTGACCTGGCACTGCGTCATCGTGTGGTTGGGGTCAAGCTACACAAGCACTGCTTGACGTTAGCTCTGATCACATAAATCTAGCCATTCAAAACGCTCAGATAAAACACTTACAAACTAAGTCAGCAAAGTTGGCATCAAATTCGGATATCAGTACATTCGAAGTAAACAATAGGTGCAGAATCCTTCAATTTTATTGAAACTAAGGTAACATGTGCAACTGGTGCCCAGCCACATGCTGGTAAAATCAAAAAGTCGTACATCCAGCACTTTGGCAGTCACCGGCTACTGAAAACCCCAACTCGCAGATATCCGATGCCTTCATGTCGGAGATCACCACCTGTATTTTGAAGGCTTTATGCAAAAGCGCTGATTTAAAAAAAAATGACTAAAACCAAAAGCACACCGATAAATAGCACCATATCAACAAGGTCTACGCATGATCATAAAATAATGATAAGCTATCATACCAAACGATATAAGCCATTGGAAAGTGCCGACCCCTTTACTTCCGTTGAAACTGGTACGATGTACAGCTTTTTGCAACAGTTGAGTCCAATTGAGCCATTGAAAAGGTCCCGAAACATTCATTTTAAGGGACACCACGAACTCTGCTTTTCGTCCGGACCAAATTCTAAATCGGCCCGTTCCGCACAGACGCACCACAGAACCTTCATTATGGAGCATCGTACACATTATTTAAGCAGACACCTATTTCCAGGGGACCGCCTTGGGTCCTAAAACTGGTATTTTCAGGAGATATCAAAGTTGAGAGGCACCACAATGCTCACACTTCCCCCATGAGGGGAAACCCTGGATCGGCTCACTTGGCGATAGGTTACCAAAGCTTTTATCTTGGGTCGTCATAACCTTTTTTTGGCAGGCACTTTATTCAAACAGGTCACATAAACGACCATAACATCTTCACTTTCAAAGCACACCAAAATCAGGGGCTGCACAACTTCTGTGCCTTCCACCCGGACTAAATCCTAGGTCAGATCTCTCGCCCAAGAGATACCCGATGGCCTCATCTCGGAGATCACCACCTGTATTTTGAAGAGGTACTCGTTTTGATCTATGCAGGCACTTCGAAGAGCTCCAATCCCTCTAATCTTAAGCGGCGCCACACTCCAAAGGGCACAAATACTGTCCCACTTTTTTGCTTTCACGAGGAACCAAGGGCGCCGCTATCGCTGGGACAGGGGTATATAACTTATCTTAGGTCTTCAGGTCCCGAGGACCCGAGAAGCCCTTTGGACGACGAGGGTACGGCAATCCAGAGTCTGATCGAAGGGCCCGAAGGACAAGCCAGGGGGATGAGGGATGTGATCCAGTATGCAGTACCAAACGCTCCGTCCGTCGCCAGCCTTGGCCCTCCATCCTCTCTAACAAGTAGGGGCAGGTCAGGGACTGCAAATATTAATCCGAAAGGGCGTGCATTGGCCTGGCCACTATGCTGATCAGGGGCTCACAACTCCCAACAAGGGGCCCGGGTCGGCAATAAGCACACAGTCGGCCATGGGCACGTTTGCTGAACAGGGCCAGGAGCGTGGCCTCGGATGCCAAAAGGCCTCTTGCGTCGGCCAAGGCCCTGTTGACAATGACAGGAGACATGAGAAACGATGATGCAATGGTTAGCATTCACGATGAAAAAATGACTTGTGCCAGTCAGAGGTCGCGGGACCGAACGATGCGTCCTCCGAGCCGCTTCAACCAGGAGACAGAGGTCGATAAGCAGAATTGGTGTCTCAGTGCCAATTACGCACTGGACTCCATGTGCTGGTAAGGGATTCGTTTGCGTCGGTGACGTGTCCTGCGTCGATCCTGTGTCAGATGCCAAGGTCAGAGGGTCTATCACATCAGTGATGGGACCGATGCATGATGCATCCCACTGAGGGCTTCCAGATCGACCACAGCAACGCGGTCCCAATATCGCCAGAATAGCAGTTTCTGGTTACCCATGGGCTGCAATGAATGGGCCCTTCAGCTCCGGACCAGGACAATTCATCTGTGTGATTTCAAGGTAGATTTTCTGAAGTGAGACTGTGGTTCTGTGCTTGCTAAAACAACATGAAAATATGTAAGCATTTGTGTAAGAAATGCATGCATATTGCACCTTGTGTATGATGTGTATTAAAAGACATGCTTCTTTTGCAAGCCACTTCTACATTATACATGACCTGTGATGAATACATGGCTGATAAACAAGCATCATTCCAACATCAGAACTTCAGAACTTCCAACACCTGATGATGGTCAGGGGGTAAGTAACTGGTCAAAATTGTATTCAAGCAACACACCAGCAGAGAACAATCCCCACAATTGTTCCCTACATGATACAGCACTGTTCAAAGCAAACAACAAAAGCAAAAACTTGCTTAGAAGTCTTTGATATGCCATCCCTAAAAATATCACACCATTTTAAAGCACTGGTTTGAGCTGTTTGATGGCAGACAACTTCTAATATAGCCCATGTTTAGCAGCACTAGTTGAGTATGCTGTGACTTCCACCTCACTCCTCTGATCCGCTGGGTCAACTGAATAATTACGTGTTGAAAGTTTGACACATACCACAATGCTTGGCATAGGTTGTCCTGTCCTCTCATATCACCAGACCTCTTGTGAGGCAGCTGATGCCATCCACAGACCACTCCAATTAGGGCTGGGATGGACCCTGCCATGGGTGAGCTTGCTCTCGGTACCTGAGTCACCACATGGGGCAAACATGTTCATCACGTTCTATACTAACCCAAGTGCCATTTCGGAGGTCATTGGCACTGGCAGGAAGCTCCAGCGTGCAGGGGTTGCAGGGAGTCACTCCAATCTGTATGCCACCACTCCATGAGCTGACCTGTGGGATATTGTGCTCATAAATAGGCTGAGCTTGCATGAATTGGCAGAACATACTATTAATCACCAATTCATACAATGGGTATAACAAAATCATACAAAAAATCTTGTAAGTCAGTGACACACTTGTAAGTCAGTGACACAGTGACAAGATCATTATAACCACTTTAGGCCAAAAATATGCAGATTGCCAGCATCTTAGGATATGTGTACATCATACAGCCCATGTTCCCTCTGCTGCTAAGAAAGGCACAGCTGGGGGGGGGGGGGGCTTAAGATCTTCAGCCATCCCTGTCAGAATCAAGCAAAGTTTCACCATATGACAAAACATAATTTTGGCATTGGATTGGATTATCAGGTCACTATTCTTGTTGAAATATTATACACTACTAGAGGCAGCACCATATATAGCTACATTAGACAGGGCTAACACATATTCAAGAAAATTTGTGCAAAACATAGCAGAAACAATTGTTTGAGGTACCAGGGCAAACCAACATTGATAGCTTATTACCACCACATGTAAGTTCCTATTAATCATGGTTGGGGTTGATCAGTTTGTTCACAGTGCTTGGGTTCTATCAATGGGACTGGACCTTACATGTAAAAATCAGTTTTGCTGGCACAAATCATGCATATGCCCCTGGTCATACAAATGCTAAATTATACCTCAAGACAAATATGTTATCATTGTTCCATAAATGTTCCCTTCTACACATAATGGAATGCAAGAGGGTTTCATGGGGGCAGACATGGATCTGTCACCAAATTTTGTCAGGCCCCAAAGTACTATGGACCAGTCTACAAAAAACCATCTGTTAAACAAGACACCAATGTAGCATCAGTGGCCTGAGCCCTGCAAAGCACTATTTGCTGTACCAAACTCAACCTGGCCAAATTGCACTGAAATTTCACCTCATTTTTTAATGACACATCTAATTTTAAGTGTTCTCCATCAACTCACCTTTTAAATATCACAAAGCCTTGAAACATTGGTTCTCTAAGTGCTTGTTTACAGTGCTCAGGTTCTATCAAGAGGACTGGAACTTACAAGTTTGGTTCTAACTATGCAACAAATTAATGAGTAAGTTATCAAATTTACAGTGTACATGGACCGAAACTGTGGAAGCAATTTTAGTGATAAGCTGGACATGCCCAGCATCACATGTATAATTGCCATGAACTGAACTGAACTGTCCGGCCTACGAACATGCATGTCATTAAAATAAGCAAAATGCGGGCACAAAACATATGAAGCATTACTAAAATATTAAAACATCCCAATCATGCTTCCACTCAGCCAATCGCGACCCTTACCTTCCTTTCTATCACGACTTCGAACAGTTGTTCATCGCGAAGGGGTGAGTGACTAAAAACAAGCCCGTGATTGAATTCATGACTAGCTTGACTTCTTTCTGCGGTCCTACTTCCATTGGACAATATTATCGAGTCGCCACACCTAGAGTGGAACCTATTACCCCCCATTCCTTTACTCGCATAACGCCGACACACTGAGCCTCGACATTGCGAGGGGGGGGGGGGGGGGAAGGGGGATCGGACTGGGAAGCTGGTAGGGACCGGTCGGTTGTCTGACCATATCTGACAATCCCACGCTGACGTCATCATGGGGATGCTCGGGGCATATAAGTGTTGAAGGCAGCACGATGGGAGTTTTTCAATAATAAAATTTGAGTATATATAAGCCGTTTATACCCATCAAGTGAATCTCAAATTATTTCAGTACGTACTCTAGTCAAATCTTGGGTTAAAACCGATGTAACTGGTCATGTATTCCAAGATGAGCCCGTTACCTTGCAGCACGATCTTTTTGCAATATTTTTTTTACCACCATTCCACCAGACTACCAGCCAACTGTGAACGGCAACTTCGGGCTCGCGTCAAAAGACGTATCGGGACTTAAGCCCGATGCGTTTTAACAGCGTACAACCAACTGATCAGGTCGGTGGAAAGGGCATTCTAGTGCGTTGGCCATTGCAGGTAACGTCGGAGAGCGGGTGCCGAGCGCGCAGCAACGACCATCGTTTACTTATGTTTCTGAATATTTTTTTCTCAAAATCTATTAGTACAGTTCAAAGACTACGCTGGGCGATTTTTTTGCACCTTTGAGGTGGTTCTCCGGATAGATTAGCAGTTACAGCAACGTGGAAAAGTCAATATGTGGCGTTGCGTCAGGTCCTGCGCCAGCTGATAGATGCAGGCCTCGAGAAAAAGGAAAAGGTCTCGAGGAAACAGAAGGAAATGTTGCTTTGAAATGGAGAGTGCGGCATGCTTGGGTCACAAATTTAGTGGGGAAACTGTGGAGATCACGTATGATAAGGTTGTGGCCATTACGGGTGCCCCAAAGCCGCGAGATGTCTCCGAACTTTGTCGTTGGTTGGGGCTTATCAACTATTATGGCAAATTTTTACATAGGCTGGTGACCACGCTCTCACCGTTATATATTTTGCTCCGGACAAATCAGCCGTGGCAGCGGACGGCCACGGGGGGAGGGGCCTTCTTTGAAGAGACACGGCGTCTTCCAAAAAATTATCTCGTCCTAGCGCATTTTGACCCGAAGCTGGCAGCGAGTTTTGCTTGTGACGCTTGTCCAGCCGGGCTGAGCTGTCGTCAGTCGGTAGGCGAGGCGGAGGGGAGGGCGGCGGCGGCCGGCAGCTTTTCGCTCGCAGTCACTGAATGAAACCGTGAAACGCTACACTCAGACCGACAGAGAAGGTTTAGCAGTGCTTGCGAGCACTACTAAGCCTTAGAAAAAATTAAGTTACTATCTGGCCAGCCGTCCGTTTTCGGTGTGGCCTGGCGGGCCCTGATGTTGGGCGCAAAAGACTATCACTTGGAGTTCGTTCCCGGGGTCAGGGCGCACTGTGATGCACCCAGCAAGCTTCCGTTGCCAGTAGTGGTCGGTTTATTGAACCCTGTGCCTGCTGAGACGGTCCATCTGATGGAGTTCCTGGATGCTTCTCCAGTGTCAGCATATCAGATTCACCAATGGACTTGTTGCGATCCTGTGCTGTTGGTTGTGATGCTGTATGTCAGATATGTCTGGCCGATAACCAGCAACGCACTGTCGTCTTTCCGGCCGTACAAATATTGGTAGTATGAACTGAGTGTCTAGGATGGCGGCGTTCTGTGGGGACCTCGCATGGTTGTCCCACATCAGGAAGTGGATAAAATCAAAAGGTGCTCCATGACGGACGTTTTGCTGAAATCATGGGCTTAGGAACGGGGGGCGGGGAGGGGCAGGGGGCCTTGCCCTCCCGCTTTTCAAGGTGGAGGGAGCAGCAATATTAACCCCACTTTTCAGATTAAGGTTGCATTTGGCTTACTTCTGCACTGAATTGAATATGCACGCCGATTTACACAGTTCACCAGCCATCTCTCTCAAGATGCGTCATCTTTTTCTTTTGCTCACCGGCCATTGCTTGGTGTTACCGCCACAAGGCCCGCGCCGCACGGCCTGGAAACTGCAACGCCTGGCGTCGAGGCTGTTATTGCTACCACTTGCGAGCAGGGATGTTCAGTACCATATTACATAGTTTTCTTGTTAGTAATCAGCTTTGACAGGATCTTGAGCATTTTAAGACGAACATGGGTTAGCCATGTTAACACAAGGAACCCCATTTCATCTTCAATCTACAGTCGGTGAGAACTCAATATCTCTGAAGAACACAGAAAAACACGGAAGTGGAGTCTATGTGACAACTATCAGACTACCAGCGGTGATCAGGGATGTTGTTGCGCCAATGAGGTTCCCTGAACTGATCTGGGGCTCACTGCGCGGGTCAGAAGGCCTCCCGTGTCAGGGATGGGAACAATGTGATGTGATATACCCTGCTAATGACCTCCGGATGGACCAGGAGATCCCGCCCCGTGCCACCAGAATGGTAGCCAGAAAACACTTCGCGATGGGACGAAATAGCCCTTCAGCCCTTGACCGGGAATGGCAATGTACCCCTGGTGTTCTACTCAAGAGGCCCCTTGCCCCGAAGGAAATAAGGGGTCTGATTATTGTTGAGTGGAGTGGGGGTCTCACAACAGGAGAGGTTTTACCTTAACTCTTCCAGTTCAACCACCAGATTCTAGTCCCACTTCGGGGTGCTTTAAGGGCCAATCCATTCTTTTCATCAGTCTAAAAATTGCACACGTGAAATATGCGCTCAGACTGCCTTCTAAATGTAAGATCTGATGTCATGAAGCGTCGAAGGATACTTTTCCGAAGCGCAATCATCGTCGTCCACCCGTTAGCTACAACTTAATATCAGCTGCTAAGCCGACGCCGCGCGGCCCGCGGAGACTGCAGCGCCTGGGGTAGAGGCTTGTGTTTCTAAAATTTTTGAGTGCGCATGCTCAAAATTAAGTCACATGACTTTGAGGTGGCAAGGCAAGAGCGCCGGTGATTTATTACATGCAATCGTTCAACGCCTGATTTCTGCAGTTTTTTTTTTACCCCAAAATACAAGCAGAATTGAGCTCACGGTAGCTCCTGGTTTCTGTTTTGGTTACAAGGTAAAAATAGCAATAAAGCGAAGAAAACTGTATCACTTGTTAACAATTGGGCTATATCCGGGGATTTTGGTGCGATCACCATAAGATAAGCTTTTGTCAACCTTGTGTTCTCCCTTGGCAAGGCTCTGGCTACGCCCCCGCCTACACACAAAAGCAGATCAAGTAGTATACGTTGCATGATGGGCGATGAAGTGTCCTTTGGGCCAATCCATACCTAAGGCAGACAGCTTCCCGGAGGCTATTTTTCTGCGATGGTGTGGTGTGAGGGAAGATAGTTCGGAAAAAGGTACTGTTGCAGGTGTCCAACACGTGTTTCATACGCCATGTAGCAGTAATGCTGGTCCAAAAGTATGCAACAATGCAGCCATGGGATCAGTTCGCAGTCAGTCATGCGGGAGACATCCGCGCCAGGGCACTGGCCACCGACGGCGGGCAGGAGCAGGGCCTAGATAAGGAACATATGACAGATGGGCGTTATTATGTGGCTTGATTCTTAAAAAAGAATCTCCAGTTTTATGGCCTTTGTCATATCGTTTTAGCAGTTTCAAGCTCCCGAATTTGTTTCCGCCTAAATTGCTGCGACAAGTCTTATGCCTTGAAAAGCAGCCAGCGAAATGAAGACGCATGAAAAATCTGTCGCACTGTGAGCCATCGATCCACTTTCAAAATTTTCACCAGCCTATATCCAGACCGCATTTTGGCATCTACACTGTGGAGGCAGATGCTTCCTTAATGACTCAAGATGCCTACCCGCTCGTGGAGTTTCGCCTCCCCAAGAAAGACAATGTTAAAATGGACGAATAATCTAGGGAAGCTGGATAGCCTTATGCGCTAAGTGACAGATAAGTCGAACAGGCAAGATTGTGCACCAGTGATAAACAGCTCTAGATGCATATCTAGCGTATCAGCCATGCCATTTGAATAAAGAGTTATAACAACCTCCATCCCTGCCCTCCCCCCCCCCTCCCTTGGTCACCGGGCTCGCTTTCCAGAAAGTGTTCCTGAAGTACACCCTGAGCTTGCCCCCCCCTCATTTTTTGAAACGTTCCTACGCCTATGGCTGAAACTCGCACGAAGTCGTTCGCTCGTTTGTACGCTTGGTGGCCAAATGCTGATGATGACATCACGACCATTTCGCAGAAATGCGGAAAGGGCCAGACGCACCACAGCAGCGTGCCCGCGATTCCTTTGCACCCCTGGGTTTGGCCCGCCCAACACTGGGAGCGCGTTCATGTTGATTAATGTGGTCCAGTCGATGGTTTGATGTTTTTCGACATAACTGGCGCACATTCCGAGTGGCTCGACATTTATCCTTCCCGGACATGAGCATCAGAGGCAAAGTTGATTATTTGCGCACTTAATTTGCTTGCTGGGGGTTGCCCCAAACGTTTGTGTCAGAAATCGCACGATGTTTCATGTCTGGACCTTTTCAGACATTCTGTCAAACGGAATAGTACATCGAACGGAGTAGTATATCTGACATCGCCGGCGCCGTCACCAAAACCAAAGAGCTCAGCAGAGCACAGTGTCCAAACGCTTAAAACGAGTTTGCGGAAACGGGCCGCTGGTAGCTTCCACGCCAAGATAGCACGTTTCGTATTTCGTTACCGTGTTACACCGCATAGGGCACGACGCACATTACCCCAGCTGAGCTTTTTCGGGATAGATTCGTACGTACGCCTCGGGATCTTTTGAAACCTGACGTAGGGGACAGATTGAGGAGAAATCAGAAGAACAAAACAATAATATTTAGATCGGGGTTCTAAGAAGCCATGTGTGCAAGCGGGAGGTGCGGTGTATGCGCCGGCAGTGGATCTTGTAGGAGGTGCGGAAGGGAGTAGACGGCTTGCGGTGTTGCAAGGGAGCAAAATGGAGTAAAACTGGCTGTTCAATTGCAGGATGGAAGGATCTTCTTGAGGCATGCGGACCATGTGCGCCCTCGTCTAGGCGTAATTGAAGATGAGGTAACATCACGCATTGTCACTCAGTTGGACCGAGAAGCAGCCGATGCCCCGATGAACGCGGGGCCAGCCTCATGTGATCTCCACGTGTACCTCCTAACAAACCGTGGCCGCGGGAAACGCTGCGCCAGCCGGACAGACTGCGGCGTTCGTAATTGTTCAATATTGCATTTCGCGTATGCTTGTGGAAGCTGGGAGCGTTGTTTATTCGCATTCTTTACGTTTTGCTCAGGCGCTTCATGAGCTTGTAAGAACCCGAGGGGGGGGGGGGGATTTAATAGCGCGGTGCCTGGCGCCGCCTCTGCTCGGCCGACCGCGGCCAGCCGTTCCCCGCGCCGCGGGCTGTGGGGGGCGAGGCCGGGCCTGCCGCCGGACCAAATGTGCAGTTCAAAACGGCACGCTTGCGTGTTTACTTCATTTGCTCCTCCTTTTTATACCAAAATTACTTTTTCAACGAAACACGGTTGGGGCCATGATTGTTGATGGTGTGTCTTTGGAGGTTTTTTCCCGCATACCGCCTAAGAGGCACCTATCATATCCACCCTTCACTTTTTGATAGTGAACGGGAGGTAAAGGTCGCAGTATGCACTATTCTGACGTCATCTGCCATATTTTAAGTTTTTCATTCAGTTTGGTGTCAAAAGAGGTATTTTTTACACCTGCGGCTCGTAGGCATTTTCCTCGAAACAGCCTTGGTTTTAATTTGACGTCATAAGACGTGATATCGTCACTTCACTTTCTACGAAAACCAATTGATACCGGGCGCAAACCACTATGGGTGAAAATCTGTTCAAAGATCATTGAAAATCCACGCTTCCATATTAAATCTTTGCAACCCTTGCAACCCTCGCAACCCCTGCAACCCCTGCTCCTGCTCCGTCCGAGTGCTCCGGTCTTGTCTCCTCCAATCCTCTACCCCTATAAAGCTTCGCTCTGCCGAGGGTAGGGGCCAGAAGGGGGAGCGGAACAGGACAGTGGAATGTGCGCGAGGACCGTACCGCCAGACTGTTTTCGCAGGGGAGAAGGGGAGACGTACGGGAAAGGCACGGGCGGTGGGATGCGCCGGGCGGTCGGGCCGGCGGAGCGCTCCGTCCCCTCGGTAGCCAAGGGATTGATGTCTCGGTCATGACCGCGGGGAGGAAAAAGATCTTGCTCACGGCGCTCCTGTGTCTCCTTAAACTTTTTGCAGTGTCCCAGAATGCAAAAAGTTCAAGGAGCCGATAGTGCTCAAAAAGTTTATTGTACGGAAATCGTGCTCATGAACGAGTAATGTGAACGACTCGATCATGCCATTTTTTTCGGCCTTCATCACAGCGTGGCTCATGGTATGGAAGGATTTGAACGGCGTTATTGATATCATAAATGCTGCGGCGATATTGAGTACTCCCCCTCGCCGAAGTGCTCTCCCCCGAAATACTTCCCCATTTTCGCTGGCGTGTAGATGAGAAACTACAGGGTGTTAGGTCTTTAGAAGGCAGGGTTGTGAACTGCACCAAAGGTATTGGCTATTTTATTTCAAAACCCACATAAATGTGGTCTCCTTAAGACGAAAAGCCCTCCAGTTTCCGAGTGACACGCCCGCGAAGATACACATACTATTTCGTGCAGACTAATTTAAGATCACCCAGGCATCCATGTCCCCGCAAAAACGTCCCTAAAATCCTGTCATTCCTTTGGACATGCGGCGATCAATGCCAAGACAAATTTTATTGTCGAATCATTCATATATGGTGTTCATGGGCACGATTTCCAGATAAAACGGCCGCCAATTGGCTCTCAACCAATATAATGCAAGGTGTAATGACGCAATCAGACCACGAAATATTCAGGAGCATATTTACTAAACAGAGAATTGTGTAGTTTAGAGCAGTCCCTTTCAATTAAAAGCATACCGACAGCTATAAGTGAGCCTATTTCATTACACCTGATGCTTATTTCAGTATCTTCAAATGTGGAGCATTTCCTTCAACATATGAAAGAGCTAGCAGGACATCAACATAAAGTACCTGCAGGATACTTCATGGTACAAAATATAGACGATGCTGATAGTGACTTGTTGACGTATTTATTGTCTCATACACCAATAGTTAAGATAACTTTTTCTGCATTTATTTGATGCAGTAATCCCCTTTTCCTTATATGCATTGACGGCGCGCAGAGGAGCTTTGGTGTCTGCATTGTCTGCAAGTCGGCATTGGGGATGTGGGACTGAGCTCCTCCCCCTCCCCCGAACGCGCATAAAGTGACGTTCCTGCTAATTAATAACTGAGCTTATTGCACTGCATCTGATACTAGCTTCCACATACTAAAATATGGATCATTCCATAGGTCGTTATTGCACGTGAGGGAGTCATTATGAATAAATTATGAAATATGAATAGATGAATGATGACGGAGTAAATCCGTGATAGCATGACTGTTTATTACGCCACACGATGTAATGTACCGCAGGGCCTTTGTCAGATCTGCTTGTGCCGACTTGTTGCGATCCTTACGCCTACCTCGGATGTGGTCCAATGAGCAGATCAATCCGAGATGGCTGGCAGCCGCGTGTGTCTGCGGGGGTTAGGAGTCGGGCCGTGAGACGCGGCATGTTTGCAGTCGACCGTTTCTCAAGATAGGCTTCCACCAAACACCGACGCATAACACACAGTGCGGAGCTTGCGGCGAATTAAACTCAAGATTGGACTCGCTCATATATTTGCATTGTCTGCACCCGCTCTCTAACAGCCTAATATCTCAAGCTGTCATGATTATCTTCCCCCAAACCCCATACAGTCATCTCCATTTCCATGCATTCATTCCAATGATATGATAATTCTCATGGAACTGAGGACAACCACCAAATAACAATATACAGGCCTCCCCTGTCTGGTCTATGTAGCCACCTCCTGAGTGGTGCAACGTATCTTTGATACCGTTTCGTGGTTGGATCTGCCCGCAGTATCCGCGAGGTTGTATCCGTCAGCGACCAGCGGTCCCTATACCCCCACGTGGTACTGATCAGGTAACTATTATCAAGTCGTCAGTACCAGGTCATGTCACCAATCCGTAACCCGCTCTCAAAGCTCGCCAGTGAGCGGCAGACAGTCCTTGACTCAGCTTCCCCGCGTTGGCACCCGGCCCCCCGACCCAGATCAAGCCCGGGTCGGCCCCTAACCGGGCCCAGTCCCGAAGGGCCGTAGCCGCGGCCGTAGCCGTAGCCGTAGCCGTAGCTGCGGCCGCCGCAGCCGCAGCCGCAGCCGCCCTAGCTGGCTAGTCGTCGCGTGTGTTGCGAGCCAGGCCGGCGGCGATCAGACGTTTCCACTCGCTCCCGTCCGGGAAGCTGTAGCAGGACAGCGCCGCCTCCTTGAACTGGCAACTGTAGCCGGCGTCCTGCCCGGTGTGACAACACAACGGTGTTAGCTCAACACGCATTCGGTATATGGCTCGGAATGAACCAACGCAACAGGGATGGATGTGCTCTCAAAAGAATGAGGTGAGAGGGCGTCTGGGATTCAACACTTGGCTTTGAGGTACTACCCTTTTACAGCAGCCCGTTCATTACAACTTTTCAAAACAATAGCGGTTTTGAGAAAACTTTTATGCAGACCAGAGAGTGATTGGAAGCCTATTGTGCATTTGAACAAGCCAAAGGTACGCGAAATTTTAGCTTTTGCTTGAGACTTTGTCGTCGTTTGGGCAATGACCTGACATGTGTTCCTACAACTTTTACACTAGCGAATTATTGCTGATTCCAGACGACTCTTTCAAACAAAAACTCCAAATGTCATGCCTTAATGATCTGGACACGCTGAATACGCCCAATTTTTGTTTTGCTTGACTCAGGTGTCTGATACCGTTTGCACAAAACCCTGACATGCGTTCCCCATGTTCAACCAACCAAAGCCGCACAAAACTAAGCATCCGAAATTGGCCTACATCGCTCTTTTGAGCACCTCTTTTCACCAAAAATTTTCTGCACCGAAGGTGAGACAAAGTTTTGGTAAAAACGTCTTCATCGGCAGCATAGTTTTAAATACAACAGTTGCGCTCAAAGTATTTGGACAGGCATTCAGTTGTCCATCCGTACGGTTAAGCTTTCCAACGAAATCTGCAGCAAATCTGTCCTATCTGGCCGCGCTCTTTTCCTCCTCGCCGAAACAGGGCCTTGGCTTATAGACACGCATTTATGCCAGAGACGAATCGGACCAAAAAGGCCAAGGTAACTCGGCAGCTTCGCAGGAAACTCCTTGATAGCTGTACGGAATTATTGGTAGGAGCCATGGATATTGCCGATTGAATAGTTGCTCGCACTATCGTCCTCCTCTGATGAGTGGTATGTACAACGTTCCCCCAGTTAATCATCTGGCTCTTGTCACGTGTTATTGAGTTGCACGGCTCTGGATGGCGTTTGATTTTCAGCCATGCAAGCGTCACAACCATAATCTTATTCCCAGAATTACTGGATTTCGAACGGAGTCTTCTGAAGTCTTCGGAGGGACAGTGTTTCGGTGTTAAAACTTCGGCTTATTCATCCCCTGAACATATCGGCCTCACATTTTCTCAGGATCTTTACTCTGGAAGCCACAATGGGGTGACGTCTACGATTGGTTTTCTGATGGGGTTGCAGCACTTGATAACAATCCCATCCGTAAGCCAAGCATGGACATCAACACAAGATAGCTACCAAAGCGGCGAAAGGTCTCCAAATATCCAGGAGGTAATAGGGAAAGGTATTATCACCAAAACATTGCTTTTACCGGTTATCTCAGCGGTGGAACGTTGGACTCATACTCAGCAGAAGTCGGATCATATCTCAGCAATTCTCAGGCGATTATTCGAGTTGCGACGCGCGCATGGCTGAAAGCCAAACACCACCCACCGTTGAACCCTACAATAACACGTGACGACAGCGAAGGACCCAAATGGTCGAAACGCTGCGTCCACACTAACACGCCACGCAGGGACGAGAGTCCGACCAATTATTCTAGGGCACATTAAGCGTCATTTATATGCAAGTGGGGGACTCCTTTACATGCCAGCAGGGCAATGGAAAAAAGGGACCGCGGATATTCAGAGCGGCGTTAGGATAAAGAGGGCTCCGATTGCCTAAAACGGCTCTGGGCGGCCCCGGAGCCCTGAGCATGCAAATAGGCGTCCTAATAGCCAACCTCAGTGGCCCGCGTGGCCCCTTAGTAGTTTGAAAGAACACTGGGTAGCCCAAAGGACCCCTGAACGGACGAAATGCTCTTGAACAGAAACGGGGCACTGAACGTTTTTATGGGCATCGTTTTTATGAACGTTGAACGAATAAACGAATGAAACTTTCGAATGAACGAATGAAATTTTCGTATGAACGAACGCTGAGCGTTTTTATGGGCAATTTATGGGCATCTAAAGTGTCCGGGACATCCGAGGGGCCCACAAGAAACCAGAGGGACCCTTGAGTGGTGAGAGGGGCCTTAGGCAGCAAAAAAGCCCTGGTCAGCTAGAAGAAAACTAGTGTCCAGACGGTTATGATAATGCTGCTTAAGAACTCCAAACGACCCAGTGGGCAACTCAGCTACCGGTATGTCCTCAGAAGCCAGTGGGGCTTTGAAGTATCCAGCCGGACCCTTGAGCGACTAAAAGGCTCCTCAGCGGCCAGAGGAACGCTAGACAGACAGATAGCTTTGGGTATTTCCTCAGAGCCCTGGGTGTCCAGAGGGCCCCAGAGCGGTCAGAAAGACCCATGGACAGTCAGAGAGGTTCTTGGGCGACAGAAAGAGACTGAGCAGCCGAAGGATCCCCTTCGGGAGCTCACATGACCCCGATTGTCCAGGAGGTCATGAGGATCCTCTGGCGGCCAAACGGACTGCTGAGCAGCCAGCAGGCCTGCGATAGCCAGACGAGCTACGAGCCAGACCCATGTAGCCGGAAAGGCCCCTGAGCCATCAGCGGTGCCTTATAGCGACCAGAGAGGCCCCGAGCTGCCAGTTAAGCCCCTGAGTAGTCAGAAGGGAAAACCACCCACGCCCACGGGTTCCCCAGTGACCAGAGAGAACCCCAAGTGTCCCGAACAGCTAAAATGGACCACAAGTGGCCAGATCGGCCCTGAGAAAAATAAGGCCAAGAACAGCCAGAACAGATACGCCCTCCGCGAGACCAAAGAGCCCCTGAGTCACCCCGAGGTCTCTCTCAGCGTTCAAAAGGGTCATTTATAGGCCAGAGGGTCTAAAAGTATCTGTAAGATCCCTCAAGCAGCCAGAGTGCTTCCAGTGACCTAGAAGGGCCCACTGAACGACAAGGATCCCCTAGTGTCAAGATGGGGCCTGATGAGCAACCAGAGGTGGTTTTGGTGCTGTCTGTATTTCTGCTCTGGCAAATGCTCTGTTTTGGCTCTTTTATTTAATAGCGTCATTTTTAATCGCATCATGGAAAGCGTTTTCACATGGAGCTCCTGAAAGCCTGGGACTTCCCCATGTATGACGTTCACCGGGGCCGGTGAGGTTTGCTACCCCCCCCCCCCCCCCCCCTCTCCCCAAATCCACCCAGGAGCTCCAGCCATGCAATAAAGGCGTCGAGCTTTCGACTGAGACCTCGCACTACATCACCATTACCGTAGGTCATGTGCAATCGTTTAACCGCTATGGTGCAACGGTACTATGGTGCAGTGGTACAGTGGTACAATCACACAATCTCCATATGTTCGTCAGTCATGAACTCGCGCTTTGTGTGAACTGAGGCGCTGAAAGAGCAGCCGGTTTGGATGTTAATGCAAGGTACCACTGGCTCAACGCCGATCAACGGCAGACCTCGCGGGATGAGAGACAATTGCCCGAATTAGCATCCCCAGTCCGCACACAGCCATCTCCGAGCAAAGTGACCATTTTTACACGCAACTGACTTGACACAGAACTGACCTCTGGCGGCATGTAGCGGTTGCGCCGGCAGATGGCGGGCGTCTCGAGATGTTCCGACAGGTGCGAGACGTACTCAACGCGGCGGCCCTCGGTGGAGCCCGACACGCGGATGTAGTCGAACAGCTGCAGGTGCTGCACCATCTCGTTCAGGCATATACCCCCAGCATGCGGGCATACGGGCACTGCCGGACGCAGGCATTCGTGACCATCTCTTGGTCGTTGTATTCCTCGGGTCCTAACGTAATAAAGACATCGTATGGGTGTCTCACGCCACAATTAGGGTTGAAAACAGCCGGCTGAAATGGTTTCTGCCGGCCGGTTTTACGCGTTCAAGACTCTACGGCCGGCTCTATGATGACTGGCTGACTATTAGACGAAACTGGCAAGAAATAAAATGCTACAGAACATGTCTTAAAACGATGATGTAAGCCGAAACAACAAGCTATGAAAGCACTTGTATGTTACCGTGTGTGCAGCAACAGTGGGGGGGGGGGGGGGGGGGGCGGGAGGGGCAAAGCCCCTTCACTTTCACTGCACGCTTACTGTCTCTCAGGACAGGCTCATTAAGTTTGATACAGATATGTCGTTGGCATTTGGCGTTGCCCGGCCCGGCGACTGCTCTAGACAACACAATGTCACATTTTGTAAATATCCTCATCAATACGTCACCGCTAGAGTTCGCCATGGAACATGGGTGTGATATCTAATGGGCTGTCAAACTGGTCACGCAAAATTGCCACTCTGCCGGACAAGCTGAGTCCCTTGTAGTTTTTCAACTCTCCGAAAGGTGTCGTGGTAATGGGAGCGGCGCTTCCAGAAACCAAGTATCGTCTGTCATATTTTGACCCTTCCTAGTGGTGTGCTTACGCATCAATCGGATTTTTTATTTGTAGTTACATTCATATGTTCAACCGAAAGTGCCAAATAGGCCCAAATAGTATCGATATGCCTCAGATGGTGGCCTTTCCTACCTTTCACGAACCATTAGTTCCATAAAAACACAAAAAAGCGCGAACATGATATACATAGGCTGGTCGCTTACTATTTTCCGAAGTTGCCGAAACATGCTTTTATAAAGGGCAGAGCGTAAGTTGCTGTGGACGCTATAACAGGTATTCGAATACACCGCCTAAGGCACCACAAAACATGTGTGGGCACCTGTGCAATGTTAAAATATACACGGCATACTATCACAAAACGGCCGTAATGTCCATATTATGTCTATGCCAGGCCGCTTTTTTTTCTACGCCGTTACCCAAGAACAGGTAACCAGGAGTGCCCCTCCCTCAATCCCAGCGACGCAGTAAACCGTACGTTAACACCAGAAAACATAAAATCAAGTCGCGGCACTCCCAGCTAGGAAGATGAAACAAACTTAAAAAAAAGACAGGCGAGGAGGTGGAGCAGACCCGAGGGAATTGTGTTATGTGAGAGGTAGGGAAAAATCATAGATGAAAAGGCTTAAAGTAGTCATTAGCCAAAATCAGCTAATGACAGCCCGCTACAACCGCCCAATAAGCTACAACCACTGAATTCCCCGTGTTAGTAAGGGTTATACAGTCACAAGTCGGGGGGGGGGGGGGGGGCAATTACCTGGTCATTTTTGTGCTGGGCTTTGAGCTGGATTTCCAGGGAGTCCGCCCAGCTAAGCAGAGTTTGTTGCTGGGAGAACTCCCGGAGCCAGCGCCATGAATTTGGGTATATGTGCATGACTTTATATCAGAAATTGATTGTGAAACATGAAGGAGGTCAAATATGATGTGCGTTGGATATGTACAGCACAAGGATGGCAATGTCTTCAAATATGTTTGTTACGTTAATATGTGTTCACGAAATGCTTGCGGATGATGTTCTTAACGATGGTTTTCGATACAGGGATATCAGCTATTCTTGGAAAATATGAAACCATAATGTCGTTCCACAGCTTGGGGCCAAGACAGGATGCTGTAAATAGTCTATAATTACGATGAAGCTTGCTATCACAAAAGAGATATCGCTATATATCGCTTGTTATCACAAAAGAGACCAGCTGGCCACGTGTTTATTCATGATGGATATAATGTTCCGAATAAACATGGCTCACTTAAGCATTCGTTCGACATGGTCATTGCACATAGTCAATATCTTACCCACAACTGGAACATCCAGGAGCACATCAAAACTATGGAAAACATGAAAGTGAAGAAATCAAGCTAAAAAAGAGTAGTGTGCGTCTGGCTTCATAAACCACGCTGTTCATCACACAGGTTTTATCGAAGCCAGACGTGCAGGTAATGCATACGCTTCTCTTGATCTCGCGGGTGGGGCCCTGCATATCAGTGAGAACAAAGCGCTCTATTCACATGGCCGATTATGACGCTGTTTTCAACTTATTCGATTACACGTCTTATTTTAGTTATAACTGGTACAGCTGTCCAACTTCCTGTGCTATGTAACACAAAACGTGCCTTGTATTTGAAACTTGCACTGAATGCATAACTGGTTGGGATTTTGAGAGCGTATGGATGCTCACGAGTTCCAGAAATCGTGCTTATGTTCATGTACGTCAGACATGAATATCTCAACGATAATGTTTGTCTTGGCCTTGAACGCCAGGATGATAGATGCCGGGTAGAACATAACTCAGTTCAAGGAAAACTACGATGCAACACTAAGAAATATACTGGATGTGCAATGTAGGCTTCATTATCAGTTTATAGTTAACATGAGAACCCGGTAAGTGAAGGTAGTGTGGTGCAGGTGACACAATAGTAAGCGGATTTAACATCAAGATGAGTGTTAAGCCCAGAATTTTTGCGGGAAGCTCTTACAAAATTTTACGGTATATTACACTGGCAGCATGTATTGGCTGTTAGCAAACAATTCACAATATTCCATGAAAAGTCGTTGAAAATTCTAGAGCACCCGGCTTCAAAAATACAACCTTTGGATTATGGATCGGGCACTAAAGCTGCGAGTTCGTACACGCAAAACTTGTCATGCAATTTGTTTCATTAGTCAATTTTTTAGAAGGGTTGACGCCCTCAGCAAAACAAGAGCAGGTTTTTTTCATTTTTGGCCGTATTTCGATTCAACCTACCGAATAATTACGAGACCATCGCCTTTTCCAGGCAAGAAGAAGCTTGCTTTAAGTGTGATCGATGCTCTGTTGTCCCTTTATGGGCGCAAAGTGTCCCCAGAAGTCGGCGCGCACTAAAACCCCAATCATCATCGTCATCTATTCTCCCTTTCGTTTCCATGATACACGCTCCGTGTGTTGTTGCTTTGAACGCAACCACATCTTCTGGATTTTTGTCTACAAAATACAATTTTCAGATTTATGCGTTAGAAACATGACATTTCTTAGATGCGAAGCTGCTGCTCTTTATATCTTAATGTCTTTTATTCGGAACCTTAGTGTTGTGCAATGTGCAGCGCTAGAAACCGACTCGGTGTTCAATTTGTCTTTAGATACGGTCAAAATCCTTAAGAATCGCGCTGCCTCCACGCGGTTAGCGTGAGCTGCCAATCATCTTATAGCGATTTTGATCCACCTGCGCATTGACTCAGACACTTCCCGTTTTGAAGCGGTTTCCACAGCGCAGCATGTGATGTGGGCTAGGTAATGACAGTGCTATAAAAACAATAAAGTGAAGTAAAGTGGTGGCGAAATGGAGCGCATAAGGTGAAATGCGTCTTGCATTGATATACTCCAGGCGCAAATATTTAGACGATTGTGTATGCATAACACATCGCATAAAGAAAAGTAATGACAGTGAAGTAAAGTGGTGGCGAATTGTTAAAAACGCTAAAAGCAGGTTTCTTCCCGACTCTGTCTCACTTTCCTCCCAAAGTCAGGCAGCTGTTGACACCTCCAGCTAATAACTGCATCTTAGCGCTGATGTGTTTTCTCGATCTGTCTTGGTGGGAGATGCTGTTGTCGGGCACCATAAGCATTTGTTGGGCATCATGGGTCGAAACCAGGTCACGGCAATCAACGTAGGATTAATGTTGTGTGACTGAAGACGTTGTTGGATTCGTATGGCCTCGAGAATAAAGCGTGTAAGCTGAACTGGGCGACTATTAAAGACTCCGGCAGGGAGCCGTATGGCGGACTTCAGGCTGCTGCGCAGCACTCGCGTTAGGCGTGTTCGAAACGCCTAGTGTCGTTTGGCTGATCATGGCCAGACGATTACCACTATCGGTTTCGTCGGGTGGTTTCGACCGCCAGGATTTCATAGCTCGTTCATTGAATATTCACGTCAAAGTGGAGGTAGGCGTGTTAAAATGGTTCGTCCGATTTCCGAACGCAGCGGTTTGCACATTCTTGACGTTTTTGTTGCTACTACCCGACCGGTTTGTTTTCATTCTACGATTATCCGTCCTGGTAGAATATCGCAGCGCAGGCAGCTTGTTGCAGCCTATAGAACTTGAAACTTGTTGCACCCTATCAAAACAACACCTTTGGCCATCACGTTTGTGAAAGCGAGCGAATGGTTGTTTTCCACCATATCTGAATAATCCTGTCTATGACGCAAAATCCTGTATCAGGTAAGCACTGTAAAACGCACATTCGTATGCACTGACCTTTGAATTTGTGGGCCATCAGGTAGATAGGCAATATCTCGTTGATGCTGCCCACGCGGCAGGAGTCCACCTGGCAGTACTGCATGCTGCCCGCCTGCAGGAACTGCTTGAACATCACCTTGTTCTGGCACATCTCGCCTGTGGCCACCCCGATGCCGTACGGGGCGAGCGCCTGCCGGGAGTTTGCGAACTTATCGTGGGGCCACGGCACGGAGCCACGAAAGCTTTCTGAGCTCATCATCTTGGCGTAAAAACGAGCAATTACATAGAAAGATCACTACAAAAAAAACATTCGTTGGGAGCAGACACGGAGCGGAACCACAGTGTCGATATCCTCAGTAACCCAGTGCTTTTCTGCCTGACAAACAGGGTGGTTTATCGACCAAAGCGTTAACAATTTGGAGCAAACGACGCAAAGCTGAATGGGACCGTGCATCTTAACATGTAACAGCTGCGGGTCATCGTGAGTGAGGCCGTCCATCTTAACATGTAACAGCTGCGGGTCATCGTGAGTGAGGCCGTCCATCTTAACATGTAACAGCTGCGGGTCATCGTGAGTGAGGCCGTCCATCTTAACATGTAACAGCTGCGGGTCATCGTGAGTGAGGCCGTCCATCTTAATATGCAGCAGCTGGAGGCCATTGTTTTGTAGCTGGAGTCAACTCAAGCGGCGAGTGGTGACCTGACCTTGGCGATCTGGGCGTGGCCAAGCACGTCGTCAGGCGACGTCGGCTCCTCGATCCAGAGCGGCCGGAACTCGGAGAGCTCTTTCATCCAGTAAATAGCCTCGTTCACGTCCCAGCGCTGGTTCGCGTCTACCATCTGAGTTCGAAAGAATGAATTAGGCACCCTGCAGAGACCAATCCAATCCGTTCACTCGTCGAGGGCAGAAATGTGAGGCTTTCAACCGTTCATACAGGACATCAGCCGGCTTCAATGTTGTAATATCTCAACGTGTGTCTAGCTTAACAGGCGCTCGGGCGGGGAATAGCAACTTGACCTTTTCGTAAAGGTTTTCCCGGAACAACTCAAGAAGCTGTGGCGTGGCAACGCCAGGCACTGTCTAGCTGTAGACAATTGACTAGCCTAGCTTTTGGTGTAGCACATTTAAAATGCCTGTCAATGTCGCTGATCTGAAGAGGGTCAAAATCAGGCCATGGATATCACTCTATCATCTAGGTCCTCCCAGCTAGACCTCATGCCCCGAAACCCCTGACCACATTGTATGACCTATGGACCGCGGACCCAAACCTATGGTCTCTGAGATTCTGATCAAATCCTGCGGCCCCCGGCCCACTGACCAGACCCTGCCATACCCGACTCCATGACCACACCGCGCGGTCCGCGGTTCACTGATCAGACCCTGTGGCCCGGTCTATTGGCGCGACCCTATGACTTCAGTCCACTGACTAGCCCTGCCGCCCTTCCAATGACCGGCCCGCGCCATATCCGGCCTCACCACCAGACCCCACGGTCCTCGGGCCGCCGCTCTGACCTTATCGTCTCCACCCCGAGTGGCCAGACCTTGCCGCCTCTGCCCAACTGACCAGACCCTGCAGCCCCCGACCCATTGGCCGGACCTTCTGCCCCAACCCACTGACCAGACCCTGCCGTTTCCCCAACGACCAGACTCTGAGGCCCCGGCCACTGGCTGGACCCCGCTGTCTCTGACCCACTGATCAGACCTTGCGGTCCGGTCTGCTGGCCTTGCCCTATGACTATGGTTCACTGATCACACCCCGCGATCCCCAGTTCACTGATTAGACAATGCGATTCACAGTCAACTGACCAGACCCTGCGACCCCCAGTCCACTGGCCAGGCCCTGCGATCCCCAGTCCACTGGCCAGACCTTGCAACCCCCAGTCCACTGGCCAGACCCCGCAACCCCCAGTCCACTGGCCAGACCCTGCGACTCACCGTCAACTGACCAGATCCTGCAATTCACAATCAACTGACCAGATCCTGCGAGCCCCAGTCCACTGGCCAAACCCTGCGATCCCCAGTCCGCTGGCCAAACCCTGCGAGCCCAGTCCACTGGCCAAACCCTGCGAGCCCAGTCCACTGGCCAAACCCTGCGAGCCCCAGTCCACTGGCCAAACCCTGCGATCCCCAGTCCACTGGCCAGACCCTGCGATTCACAGTCCACTGGCCAGATCCCGCGAGCCCCAAGCAACTGACCATGCGCCGGTTCGGTCCGATCGTCTCGCGGACGACCCGTAAGCGTCGTCGGTCGTCACTCAGGTCCTGGCCCACTTTGATCTTGAACTCGTCCCAGCCGGCCTCCATGAACTGCAGGCAGAGCGCGCGGATCTTCTCGTCCGGGTAGCCCAGCCAACCTGCAGGCCCAGTGATCTGCCTTGCGCGGTGTCCAGACAAATGGCGGGTCCAGCGATCTGCCTTGCGCGGAATCCAGGCAAATGGCGGGCCCAGCGGTCTGCCTTGCGCGGTATCCAGACAAATGGCGGCCCCTGCGGTCTGCCTTGCGCGGTATCCAGACAAATGGCGCGCCCAGCGGTCTGCCTCGTGCCGAATCCAGATAAATAATCCAAGGGTTTTTAGTTGATTTTTTTTACCGAATGCATTAAACTGAACGGTACTGTGTCGACATGTTCTCTTTTTTGTCGCTTTACAAACCGGAGAAATGTCTAACGTCGAAGAGCTATTTGCTGACATGCATTCTTGCCGACCTATCAGATTTGCAAAGTGCTTATAAGCTGAAATGTATATTTGCCTCATGCCCATGTCTTGAAATGTCGCTTAGTCGGATGCTAATGTCTCAAACTGTTTTTGTTTTTTTGTTCTCTTTGGTCGAATGATTATTGCCGGTGCGTACTTAAAGGCGAATGATCACTAAGCCATCCTGCAATACCTACGCTTGCGCAGATGCTAAAGCCACCCTGCGATACCTACACCTGTGCAGAGGTTAAAGAGAATACCTTGATTTTTACGATCTTCCAAAGACCACCGCCCATTTCAATGCCAAACGATGTCATCTATGGCGGTGTTCAATCCTTCTGAACTTATGAACGTTTAATGACTGTTTTTGGTGATGGGTACAGTAACGGCGAAGGCTTTAAGCCTATTTACCAGTTTGGCTCCCAACATGCTGCTTTACCCCTAAGTCAGTTCGTTCCCAAACATGCCTGAATAATGGTTTCATCTGACATGTTACTGGTTGTTGTGAGTCACGCATATTTATTAAATTTCCATCTCCTCCAATCGGTCGGTCGGTTACGGTCCATCAAACTTTTCCCATCAACACGGAGCTTAACTTATGAATGACTCCTTACAGCCTGCAGAGCTACCACTTCCGAGAATTTCAGTCGTCCAATTAACATTATTACAAAATAAATTCGGTTGTTTGGTCATTCGACGCAATCCTCAACACGGTCCCGCCACGGGCGGGTGAATCGAAAGGCAGGCGCTCTAACCAACTGAGCCAATGGGACGGACAAATCTTTGGAGCTAAGTGGGACGGACAAAGCCGGTCAGCATACGTCAGTATCACTTACTTCGCCTAGCCGCTACTTTAATCAGGTGGCTGTTCTCCTGACGTCGTTTAGTCAGAGCGGCAAACGATATCAACGACCAATGTTCTCCAGGAGCGGGACGCGTGGCGATAGGCGGATAAGTTCCGCGTCTGCCCAGCGGTACCGCATGCCGTCTCGGTGCCGTACCCGCAGCGGTGGTGTAAGCGGGATACCCCTCGGCCACCATGAGTTGCTCCCGCTGCTTCTTCAGGGCGGGGTCGATGGTGAGCATCTCTAGCGCCTCCTCTTTGCTGAGCACGTCCGAGCTGCGGTGGTGACCAGGTGAATTACGGTCAGTACGGGCTCCAACCACTGTCGAAACATTCGATTTCGTGTTTTGTGCCACAGAAGTCAGCAATTGATGGACGAGTGTTGAAGCCTCCGCGACTGGCACACAATGAGAGATTGAAGATGCTTTCGGAGGACACGGAACACAGGTATCATGTGAAATATGTAGCATATCTTGTGTAACTTAATGCTAGGTAATCGGTCACATGAAACCAGAGGCTAACGCTCTTCTCGGTGTTAGCCTGCCTTCACTAATCCGCGACCTAGGCCTCCTACAGCTGCACCTACATGTAGCGGAAGTCCATGACATCGACCAGTTGCTGGGGCGTCATGTCAACCAGCAGGCGCCAGACAGGCTTGCCCTCTCTGCGCGCCCACAGATCCCAGATGGCGTTCACCAGAGCGGCGGTAGCCAGGTGAACAACGCCCTTCTGCGGTCCGATCTGAGGAAGTCACGTCACAGCATCAGCAACTGATCTACGTTGACAACTCACGAATCCGTATCTCACACTCCTATGCTCCGTTTCTGACAATCACGTGTGACGTCTGTGTGCCTACAACACACATGCCACGCTAGGGATGTTTTCATGATGGCAGTGCTTCAGCCAATAGGAATACGAGCCACAATAAACATGATGATGGTCTTCTTTGTAAACAATGTTGCCAACAGCCTGAGCCCGCACATGCTTCAAGCCTTGCAACGGACGTTTTAGTATCACGTTCGTCTGCATAACACAGGCCAGTTGTATATGAATGCCCAGTATGAATGCTCAGCTTGCAGAGTCTTGCTCTTCCGGAGCCCTGTGCTGCTGCACTTGCGTAGATCAGTTTAAAAGAATCTACCTGAATACAGTCAAGATATAATCTCCATACTACATACACATACAACAGTAGTTGGCAAAGGGTTGGTCATGAGATTCTTTGGGATTGGGGTTTTAATTCATTGGTCGCGGGCGGGAGGGTTGAGTCACGGTAACAACGGCGCGCATCATTGCAGCGCCTTGCAGGCTATTGCACTAATTACGCAATGCCCGCGCAATGTCCTTCATGCCAAGGCGAGAGGCGGACGAAATCATACGACCCCACTAGCTGATCGCGTCGTCAAGTCCCCATAACGACGACGATCATGCAAGGTGACAACCAGGTAGCAATGTGACATTGCAAGACGGTGTGATGGTCTCATTGGCATACATAAATGTAAAATAATATACACAGATGCTTGATACTCTACACAATCTAATTTGAGGAGGCTGTAAAACATAACTTTTAAGTGTCAAAAACCTAAGGAAGCCTTCAAGAATAACTTGCAGGTAAGAACGACGCAGAAGAGTGACCGGCGTCTATTTTTTTTCTCTGACACAGCTTTAGTCAAAGTTTTAGTGATTCACCTAAATCTGCGCAGCGAAATTTGGTGTTACACCCGCTTGGCCGTAATAACATGCGTGTGACTCAACTTTTGTATCTATGTAAGTGATTTAATCGGATTTTATTTAAGAATGAACATGTTGCCTTATGATGTAATAAAGGCAATAGCGAGGCTTTGTTCAGTTCATACAATAACTTGCCTACAGCAATCGGATAAGCAACGGGCGAGAAGGGCTGCCAACGGGTGCTACCAATTTTCGTCACAGCCGTAACGGACCTAAGCCTTGGCGCCACGCGCATAAATTGATTTGCAGATCGGACAGCGACGCGGTTCTTCTGTGTCGCTGCACCTTGGTTTCTCATCGACTTTGTTGCATGCCAATGTAACAAAGCACTTGTGCACGCTACGCGAACGCTTGTCTCGGGTTAGAATCAGCGATATATCCGTCTCTTCACGTTGTCAGCTTTTAAAGTTGTTAACATGATCTGCCTGGCCAGCCCGTTAGTTTGCCTCAGGCACGAGGGCACGCACGGAGTGGGACGGATCGTCAGCATCACTGCTTTGTTTCAGTTCTAGTGGCAGATGTCTGGTCAATGGCAGCTCCCATGGTTTAGCGGCTTGGCCAAATTAATGTGTAATGCTCCCTTTCTTATGCTATGGTGAATTTGATTTAGGTTTTAGCTGAAGTTATTCCAGTCCGGGTGTGACATAAAGTTTCAAAATCAGAAGGACCAGGCATTGAAACGAGACGAGTTACCCAGCCTAGCACTCAAAAGTCATGTCATATCAAAGCGAGGGCCGTCTGCTTAAGGCCTTAACTAAAATTGTTCATTTCCGCTTATGGTGTAATAAAAAAGCATAGAATGCGACTGGGGCTAGGCACTTTACCCACCAAAGCATGGAAAGTCATTCTCGAAAGGGCAAACGATTATATTGGGTTGTCATAGCATCCATTCACATTTGTTTTCGGTTCAATCGTAAAGAAAGAACTGGTACACAAAGGCGGTTTCCTTCTCCATGTTCCCTACCTCAGCGGGTGACGAGATGCAACAATAAGCTGGCTGATTGGAACGTGTCAAAGTAACAGTCGTCACGCCCTGAAATCATCTCAGACGTCGCCCAGCGAAGCGGGCGGGTCACACTTGTCTAAATAACTATTTGAGGAAGGCACGTCTATCTGTTTATCCGTCCCGTTTTGTGTACCGTCGTGCACGGGCCGGACCGCGGGTTGCTGAGTGAAGAAATCTGGACACGACGCGCGGGCACATGACGCGGTTTTCCACGGGTAGATCACGAGCCGGTGCTGTCCGGGGTTCTGGAGTGGCACGTGGCGAAAGGACCGTTTTAGATCCATCGGTTTTCACGGACGGTCCGAAAAGCCGACCGACGGCAAAGCCAACGAGTAGCCGTACGAAATTGTGGTCACATCTCGGCAACCACGGGTCAGAGCAACAAGAAAAAAAACACTCTATGGTAAACAATTCAACGGGAAATCACGTGGTGCCAGATCTGTGGTTGCGCGTGCCACATGTCACGCGCACAGAAGTGGCCAACATGATTTTGGCCGGTTTTTATGTTTTCCAAGTTTTAAGCTGCATTTCGACAGCCAGCGCTTTAACACGCGCCCGAGTGGCCGGTTGAATACCCTTTGTTCGGGTGGGGAATCAATTTTACCCCACTGAGATCTCAGGAACTAAGAGAGCTAGAAATACCAAATTTGCAGAGTGTGTTGGTCTGTACCAGAACTACCTCGGGTTAAATTTTGACGTTCCCGGGCCATGACCTTCGGATCAAACAAGGTCAAACAAGGTCAATTTCCAGTTTGGTCTCCAAATCCCCCAGAACCTAGATATCTGTTCTAAACAAAGGGGCACGTGATCACTTCAAGTCATTGACTTTGTCTGACCTCAAAAAGGTCATGATGACTAAAATCATACAAGACTGCTTTGAGTTTTGCATTGGAATAAGCGACAAAAATTGCGCTAAGCAGTATGTTCCAAAAAACAAAATGCCGACCTGGGTCATTTTAGGTCAGTGAACTATTCTGACCCTTGAGAAATGCATGGAAGATGTATAATCCGGTTCCTGTTATTAATCAATTCAAAATGAGCACCAAAAACTACCCTATACGGCACACCCTAGAGTAACAAAACAGACTGGCTTTGACATTGGTCTCACGTTCAGAACTGATCTTAGGTCAATGGGTTTGTTTAGTCAGTTGTTGAGCTGCCTAAGAAAAAATCCCAAAGATGTATGGTCTCGTCTAACACTTCATTGTTGCATCAGATTGAACGATCTCCTATAAATTGACTTTGCAGAATCCATGGCCCGACTTTGACCTGCCCTAGGTCAGTGGCCTTATAACGTGCATCTAAATGTTTGATACCAAACGATCCGCTATTCATCTCTCTACAGCTATGCAAAGTTTGGCGTGGCTGCGCCGCGCCGTTCGGAAACCATTCTGGAAAAACCTTTGGGGGTGAATTTGGCCCCCACTCGAGGGTGCGTTGAGGTGCGAATCCAATTTTTGCGTGCCGACCGATGTACCGGCTGCAATTTGTTCGCCCGACACAAGTTTGTGCGACGCACGGTTGCGTCAGTAATCGTTGAGCAAGTCGGGAATGTCAGCATTTCCGGAAATGATTAAGCTGCAGCCGGGACCGTGGCGAAATTAACATCACCGCAGGCACCAATCCATTACCCTATTTCCACCCCCATTTACCACCGCTTATTCGTCACTCTGTGCACTGCGCGCACCAGTCGTCACACCTCAAAATCTATGCCTCGACTTGCCCTGTCCCGTCCATATATTACTTTTACCTAAACACTTGTATTCCACAGTTTTGCGTCGTTCAAGTTCCACCGGTTCATCGCCCCAGTTGTTCGCGGCGAGCATTTAAAGAAATACGACGAAACGAGCACGCGCCGCATGTTGCCGACGTCCGGCAACCGTCATTCATTCATTATTCATTTATGTATTCATTTATTCCTTCATTGCGGCGTTGCGGGAGCGATTTGTTTTTCAGCGAAGATCACTTCTGCGATACAGTAGCCCTCACCCCGGCCTCAAGAGGTTTGTTTTGGCGGCACTAATGGTCTAACAACACATAAGCATTCCAGTGGCGTTGGCAAGTGGCAGTGGTGAAATTTAGGGGAAGCACGTCGAAGCAAGCGTGCAAACACAGGCAAAAATATATGTAAAACCCGTCCACAACATTTTGATACAAACTTTAGGAAAGCTGGCCGGCACTCAGTGCTGTGTTATCATCAAAGCTGTAAGTATTTCACCCCATGGTGTCACGCGGGAAAGTTGGCTTGCGGATGAAATTCAGCCTTCGAAACTACGTGCATCTCCTTCTGTGCCAGGAACACAACATCTGCCCGGTCCTGGTTAGATATCTATGAGAGAGGCTAAAGATTGGCGGAAGACTTACAAAGGTTCACGAATTTGGTGACTTATCATCACGCGTGGTCACGATCGATTTAGAAGACAAGGAATGCGAAGTCGTTGGCCAAAGGCCGACATGTCCTACTTGCCTGCATACTATTGGCTTGAGCTGCGTCTGTCTGTCTGGCCCGATCTGCGTAGCGCCATGTAAGGCGGAGCGGCGGATCGATGCAAGGTAGATTTGGACATGACGCGAGGGCTTGCGAAGCGGTTTTTCACGGGTAGCTCGCAAGCCGCTGCTGTCAGGGTTCAGGCGTGGCGTGTGGCGGAGGGGCCGTTTTAGGCCTATCGTTATTCTCGGGTTGCCCGCATAATAACAATGGGCCCAAAACGACCCATTTCTCGGGCCGCCCATACGATATGTCCAACGACAAAGCAGACGTGCTGCCGTACAAAATCGTGGCCACATCTCGGCAGCCAGGGGTCGGAACGACCAGAAATGACATAGGTATATAACTAAACGGGAATCGCGAGATGCCAGATGCCCACAAGCAAGTGCCGCCAATCACAGTCACAGAGGCGGTCGAGATGGACGTGTCCAACTTTTACGGTTTTCAT